TGAGAGGTCCCTGGCACTGGGCAGCCTGGAGAAGGGGACCTGAGCTCTCTGGCCACCGGGGTGGGTGGGCTCAGAAGCAGATCCTCCCCTAGGTTCCCTGGTGAGTGCCCAGTGTACAGCAAAGGGACACCTGCCTACAGCCTTGCCAGATGCCAAGCAGAAAGGCCAGCTGCGCTGTCTGTCGCACAGGCCCCAGGGCTAACAAGTGGGTGTTACGTCTAGTCACTTTTGTAATTCAGAATCCTTGTAAAAGAACATGAGATGGACCAAGAAGGTTTCTTGGCCACAGGAAACCATATACAGGGCAGCCATCCTGGTGCTTCTTACAAGGTTAATTTCTGTCCCTGAAGGATTTCTCCCATCCCGTGGATCATTCTCATGTGAATACAGATGTGCTTTAATATCTTTGTTCTAAAAACCAAACAAAATACAGTTCCTGGAGAGTCCTGTCCTCTGCACAGCAAACTTCTCTAATCAGCTGCCTTCATTTCCTGCCTTTCCCCACTCCAAAGTGAACTAAGCTGGCAGGACTTTTTGGGCTTTCCTGTGTTCCCTGCTAGAAGTGGTTTCCAATTCTGCCCCCAGAGTCCTGCTGTCCGGAGTGACCTGTACAGTGGCAGAAGCCCAGGGGCCGAACATACGGGAGTGTTTTCCTATGTTGTCTCCTTGAACCCTGACACTTTACCTTGTGTGTCTGTCCCTTCCTGTGAGGCATCTTCACTCCAAGTCACATCCAGGCCTTGCAGATCTGGTCTCTTATGGTCATACTGATCAGTCGGAAACTACATGCCTTATGGGGATCTCACACATTGCCTTCTCTCTGAGCAGCAGTGGCTCCCCAAGTTTGTGAGCAATGAGGGAGACAAAAGAAGGCAGCGGGACCCTCCTCTGCCGGATGAGTTGGGTGGATCCTGTCACTGGACAGAGTGGCCAGGCCACCACAATTCACTTAGCAGCTCACAGAATCTGCTGGCATAGACAAACTTGGTGATAAAGCCTAATTCCCCAAAGGGCTTTGGCAGAGCGCCGGTGGGTATAGGACTGAATGACTACAACCTCCTGAGAGGGTAGGGGGCACGGTGCTAGAGTTCAGCCAGGGGCGGGTGTGTGAGAGCTGAGTGCTTTCCTTCCTGGGCCCCAGGAGAGGGGAACCTCTCAGCCCCCTCCCTTCCGGTCGGCCTCCCCACAGCACCTCCCTGGCCCTCAGCACTGAGAGACAGACTCATCACAGTGGCACACCATGGTATGCAGGGCAGAGTCCTGGATGGAGCCCACAGGATGACTCAACTCACTCCTCTGCAAGCAAAACCAACTCTGCACACGCGTGGGGTGCAGGGGGCACCACAAAGAAAGCGGTCTCCATTTCCCAATGTGAGACCTTGGGAGGTTGCTCAACCCTCTGCACCACCTCTGCCCTGTATGATATGGAGAGCAGCACCTGCTGCCAGCTGCCTCCCAAGTGCACAACAGGGGAGAGGCAGTCTGCTCAGCTCAGGTGCCCAGGGCTGGGCGCAGAGCAGGCTGGCTGGACACATGAGTATAAAGCGCATCGTCCCAGAATATTCCCCTGTGGAGCTGCCGTTTGCTTGCTTGCATCTATGGAGAATTCACAGCATACAGCCTGTGCCAAACAGCAAAAACAAGACGCCCCGACAAGGAAACACTCACGTCCGAGGGACTGCAAACCTGGACACCCAGATGGAGTTTTATGGCCGTACGAGCAAGGCCGTAAATGTTCACGAAGTGGAGGGAGCGAAATCAGACCAGATGGGAATTATATACTAAATGGCAAACTGCACGGAGTTCTGGTTTTGTTCCAAAAAAGCAGCAAGTGAGAAGACACGCAAAGAATGGAGCATTAGATGACAAAGGTCCAGCAAATGCTGAAACCCAGCAAGGCCAGGAGACACTGGGTTGGCACAGGCAACAAGCCAGAGATGGGGGCTGAAGGTCACAGGACACCTTCCTTGGGACAGCTCGTTTTCATGACAGGACTGCTGCTTAGCTCCGTCTCTTCGTTTTTCCTGCACCCACTCTTTTCAGTTACATCCTGGCCCACAGCTTGGTGTCCTTTTCAAGGGAGGGATTCTTCTGAAAATGCTGCTACGATTCTAAGTTGCCTCAGCTACTGACCTGGGAGATAATCAGTACCATCAGAGGTGTTGCTTTGCGTCTGAGTTTTAAGAAGCAAAAACATCCGCAAGCCTCAGCCCCCAGGCGTCTGTAGTATGTACCCTCATGAAATGATTACTCCAATTTCTAAGCTATATTTACATTATAATGATGTTATTTTTCCTTTTCGCTAGCTCTGGGGGTTCTTTCCTGACTCCACATACCTGAGTTTTGATTAGAAATCCATGCTAACCAACTTAAGGCTGCTTATTGGAAATCCATTGTGACTGAAAGAATAAATGAAATCTCTTTATGTTTAGTCAGCACAACCTGCATTCTACGTGTGCCAGCAAAGTCCTCTGAAGCTTGGGGAAATTTGAAAAATTTAGGGTTTTAGCTTACACATGCAGTATCCAAATGGCTCCCTGTTGGAACCAGAGAGTGTTTTCATCCCAGGTCTCTGGCACAGGCGAGTCACTGGACTCATTCATGGCATTTTCCTGTGCTGCTTCTCTTCCCATCCTACGCAGAGGGATTACAATTTAACCACATGGCCAGCGGTGCTGGCACAAGAAAAGCAGCACGATTACAAGTTGGAAGGAAAATCAAAAAATGATAGTGAGTAAATCAGAAAGGTAGTGAATTCCGTTTGCCACAAGGCAGCCTGTAATCCATGATCTACTGGGACGCCTTGCTATAAACTAAACAGCCCTGGCCAGACCAAGTTAGCTGCCAGAGTACACCAGAGCCTTCCCCTCCCACTCCAAACCCCCAGAAGTGAAGAGGAAAGTGGAACCTCCCTGAGCATCCGAGAGAGCAAGGAGCACTCTTGGCGGAAACCATGAACAATTGTGAAAAATGAAAGGCAGATGTTTTATTCTTTCTGAAAGAGGAAACAACAACTCAGAAAGCACACGGATAAAAGCCACTGCCACAGGAGGAGGGGGTTCAGAGGCTCTCCAGGGAGAGGTATGGCCTGGCTGAGCGGGAGCTGGGTCAGACAGAGAGACAAGACAGAGGTCAGCAGCCAGAAGGAAGAAAAACCTTCCCAGAGAAGCTTCAGACACATCAGCCAGCAGCATTTCTTGAGACCCAGGAGCTGGGGGGAACCCCATGAGAATACAATCTTCACAAACAACCCCCCAGGGACTTTGAAACACAGAAACCAGAACAAAGGTTACAGAAAGCCAACACTTGAGTTACAAAACTCAACAAAGGAAGAACTTACTCATGAGGAATCTGAGTTAATAGAGCATATAAAATGATATTTAAGAACAAGTATAATAAACATCCTTTAAAAAATCATCTCTTCATGAAAAACAAAACAACCTGAAATCCCAACTACCTGTGAGGATGAGGCAGGAGGACTGCAAGTTGGAGGCCAACCTGGGCAGCTGAGTGTGACCCAAAAAGACTGGAGAGGCAGGGCAGTGGCAGAGGCCCCAGATCAATCCGACAGTGGAGGGGCAGGGAGAGGTGGAGCAAGGGAGGAGAGAGACAAACAGAAACACTGGCCTAAACACCACAGATTTAATAACCACAGATTAAACCCATGAGCTGGAAACCAGCGCTGAAGACCGATCTCCATCAAATGCCACCGACTGTGCAGTGATTAAAAATTATATAAAAAAATTAGTCCCTCAAACCACAGCTTTCTTACAGACCAGGTGAGAGCTGCATGCAGCTGTGAGTGCCTGAAATGCTGGCTGTTCTCTACACGGGACCAAATGTAGGTGCAAAAGACACATCCAGTTGAAATAACATTTTGTTATGTTAAGATATTGACTCTGACCTGCCTCTGCCCTTCCCTGCCATTCCTTCCCACCCTTCCTCTTTCTCCATATGGTGAAGGAGGGCAGTTAACTGGACCTTAAAGTAGGTCTAGTCACTTGCTTAAGGCCAAACAGCAAGCAAGCTTCCCAGATGCATTTGAGCCCACGTGCCTGACTCTGGAGTCCAGGTGTGCAACTAGGCTGGGACCAAGGGGACTCTGAAGTAGCTGCCGGACAGGAAATGGAGAGGGAGCTCTGCCCAGGGGAGGACAGGGACTGGAAGCAGTGGTTAGTGGACAGAGCACTGACCGCTCCCTGCACTGCAGAGTGCGCCAGCTCAGGCCCATGGGAGCAGCCAGGAACGCAAGCTCCGCCCTGGCCGGAGACCAGCCCTGGCAGGAGACCAGCACCGCCAAACCCACAAACAATGAGCCAAGTCCCTGGGGCCTTCATGAAAGTCAAATGCCTCCACTCCCTGGGGAGCGTGTCTCTGGGGGCTGCCCGCTCTCTTGGGCACAGCTGCTTGTGCTGTGTCCATTTCTGTGAGAAGCTCATGGGAGCACTGGAGCTGGCCCAGTTCAGCTTCCCCGTGTGTGCGAGCAGCCAGCAGCAGGTGGTGACAGGGTACATCTTACTCCTCTACGAGAGGGCGCTGGGCAAAGGAGTGACAGAGTGTGGGAGGGAAGGCAGAGTTACATGAACTGGCATTCGTTTCTCATTGCAAAAGAAGAGAAATAATACAGAAGTAACACTGACGTAGCAACGCCATTTCACAGCGCCAAGGAAGTACGAAGCCTCTCCTTTAAAAAGGCTTCATGCTAAAAGGGAACCAGTTCTGCTCACCAGCCTCGAGGCAAAGGTGGCTGCTTTTATCCTCACCCTGTACCTTACCCCAAGCTTCCAGCCAAAGCCGCAGGACAGGAAGAGACACTTCTTTGCACAGGGACTGACCCCCTGTATGCCTCCGCCTACGCCCTGCCTCTCCTAGCAGAAAGCCCATGCCAGCAGGCCTTCTCCCAGGATGAGCTGGAGGCCCTTGCAGTGGCCTGGGTGCTGCACAGGGCCACTGGGGAGCAGGGAGAGCAAGGCCTCGATCTGGGTAGACCCCTTGCTTACCTGTGGACGGCGCCAGCCAGCTCGGCGGCCAGCTCACTCTCACTGCATGGTGTCCTCAGTTCCGCAAGGGACAGGGCCGGGGAGGCAGCATCAGCACACTCCTGAGGTGACAAACACATTCTTGTTGGACCAGAAGCCAAGCACAAGGTGCTGGAAACTCTGGTTTCTCTGATGAGGAGCATTCTGGCTGGACAGCAGGTGGCAGCAACAGAGCCTGGCTGGGCGGCACCTTCGGGTCAGGCCCAGGGGAATCCTGGTAGCAGGCCAAAGACCATCTCCGCTGTCTCAGCAACCTTCACAGCCCCCACAGTGGTGAGGACAAGACCTAGGGATGCACTGGCCCAAGCACACCACAGGCATTCACTCAGTCATTACGGGAGGCTCTGAGACAGACACCTCTGTCGTCTCCATTTTACCAAGGGGTAAACTGAGGCACAGGGAATAGTTAGGCTTCTCAGTCACGTGAGGAAATGAGAGATGCAGAACTCAAAACCAGGCTGTCTGGTCTGGATCCGTCTCTCCAATGGAGAAATTCACACAAACACCCTGTTTACCACCCGAGAAGAAAGCCCATTTTCTCTATGCCTGGGAGCCTCACTGGGCCCCATGTAAGGGAGAAACCTCAGAAGAGGAGGAGGCCCTTCTCTATTCATCACAGGAACCCTGGCGATCTACCGTCTTGTGGGCCTTGGAATAAAAATCCGTGGGCTACTGCAAGAGACACAGAAACAGAGCCCCATTGTGACTGGCTGCATCTAGTGCGAGACGTCCAGATGACAGGAGCCCCACGGACTTCCTCAGCCCTCTCACATAGAGGTGCCACCTCTCTTGGCCTCCTGGACAGTACAGGGCTGACATCTCAACACCGTGCCCTCTTCCCAGGCTCCTGCCTCTCCTGACTGATTCCTCTCCATCCAGGTATCCTCACAGGTATCCCCCGGTACCACCTGCAAAATTTGTGGGGATCCCACCCCTGGTCCCATGCCGCAGAAGTGAGAATTTGCTAACGTCCCTGAAACTGGGCCTGCCGTGTCTCCCTCGTGGTGCCTCCTGCTGAACGTGTGTGGCAATGTCTGTCGCAAACAGATAGGTGAGAACTGCAGAACCCTTGTGAAACCTGGATGGGCCTGAGGACCAGCTGTGTTGGTGGGAGGAAAGGTTTTAAAGCATGAAGGATACTCATCCACTGTTCTAGACTTCACCTGTGTACATATGACCCATAGACCAAGAATGGCCTGTTTTCAAATCATGAAAAAAATCAGAAGAGGAATATTTTGTAAAAGGTAAAAACTGCATGAAACTCAAACTTCATTGTCTATCAATTGTCAGCCACACCTACCAGCTCTTCTGTGGTCTCTGGCTTGTGCCACACAGCTGCTTGGGCAGGAGGAGTAGGTGCAGCAGTTTGGACAACCTGCAGATCCTAAGATACTTACTATCGGTCCTCTCCACAAGTTTGCCATGCCCTGCTCTAGATCATCTGCCTCATCTCCAACAACAACAACAAAACACCTCTTGGGCTGGATGTGGTGGTACACCCCTTAATCCAGTACTTCGGAAGCCCAGGCAGGAGGATGGCTGGGAGTTCAGGCCAACATGGGCTACCTAAAGAGTTTAAGGACAGCCTGAACTAAAAAAAACAAACTTACAAACAAACAAACAAAACCTAATGGATAGCCAGGATCTTATGGAAGTAGTAAAGACAAGGAAATCAGCTTATTTTAATCTCGTAATTTAGTTTGAACAGGAGTAGGTACTTTTATAAAGCTTCTTACTCTAATGTTAAAAATTGCCTGGTCTTTTCTGTCAGAGAAGTTTCATCCCTGGTCTAATAAATACCAAGAGCTAGGAGAAAACGTTCAGTTCCTGGGCCTCTGTGGAGAACCTGGCCAGTCACTCCCACCACACCCAAAGAACACACACAGGGACACTGGGGCTCTGTCTCGCAGGCTCTGTGGCTCATGGGCTGGTGACTGACTCCTCAGGTTATGAAAAGGGCTGGAACGTATCTGTACCAAAGAGAAAATGTGAGCTTTCTAAGCCCAGGTGGGCTGCTGTCCCCAGCCCAGAAGACTCCCAAGCACTACGCACTCACTGGCCACAGTGGCTTCCAGAGCCGAACCACACTGCGTTTGCTCCCTGCTGAAAACCTTTCCACAACTCCTGGCTGGCCCTGGGGTAATGAGGTTGGCTGACGGCCCTGGCAGTGCATCGACGCCCCTGTCCTGGGTCTCTTCAGCCTAGGGTGTGCCTCCTCTGCCCTCACGCTTCACCCTGCCTGCGACAGGCTGGCTCCCCTCTGTACTGGGCAGTTTAGAAGCTTCTCTCTTCCAAAAACCCTGTCCTAAATCTTTAAATCTGGATTCTGAGTTTGGTCCAGAACCCACCATGGCACTACACGTGGATCCTTATGCTCAGGACACTGTGTGACTGCATTCTGAGTGTTGTCTGCCCAAAGCCTCCCATGCAGAAAGTCAATCTGGTGGGTGCAGTCTGGTCTCCCATGGAGCTCCAGGTCCTGGCTTGCCCTGAGTGCCAGAGCACACTCCTCTGAGGAACAGGTGAGCACAAAGCAGAGGACCCTGGACAGCCTGCTGCCTGTGAGCAATGGATTCAAACTTCTCAGGTGCTCCAGGGCACGGAGGTGGGAAAGACACAGCTGCAGCCATTGGTGAAGATCCTGTCAGAGATCTTGGCTATTTGGGGAAGGACAGTTCACACCACACCACACCAGCACTGCTCCTTCCCTCCCATGCACACAGCTCTCCTGGACACCTCCTTGTTCATGGACTTCTAGCAGCCATTTATGAGGCCAGCACACACCCACGAATCCTGGGTCTAAAACAAACTGGGCTCCAGAGAAGCTGGCACTACCAGGAAAGAATGAAATACAGAATAGCAAGCACACCAAGAAGGAGGAGGTAACTCTGAGTTCAGAGCTTTTCTTCCTTCCAGTGTGGCATTTGGAAGACATATAAAATGACAGAATAAGCTTAGATTCTAGAAAAAAGACCTGGGGGCTGAGGGGACCCAAGATGACGCCAGCTGCTCGTTGGGCAAGGACATCTGCTTGGGAATCCCAGCCTGTCTCCCTCCGCAGCCTTCAGTGGCCCTACTGACCCTTCTTGAAGGTTGAAAGCCAGCACGAGAGCTGGAGCAGTGCTGGGAGAGAATGAGCCCGAGAGGCTGGCAGTGCAAGCCTGAGGCACTGCTTCTTAAACAGTGGGGAGGCCCTCCCTCCTTTGGGGTCTTGTTTTCCTTCCTCAAAGTCTTACATATTCTTCCCTCATAGATGGGGGGCTTAAGAGAGATGGAAGATAAATCAAAGTATCCGTGACAGCTGAGGAAGGAGGGATCAGAAGCGGGAGGTAATCAGAGCGTGGACAACTGCAGGCGAGGCTGATGCGGGAGGAGTTTGGTTCAGTTTAGAATGTAGGTGTGGTTTCTTTACGCTCAGGTGTCATCTCCGATATCTAGGAATGACCCATGCACACAAGGAAACTGAGGCGGTGAATGAACACAAGGGCAGTGGAGCGCAGGCCTTTCCCATCACCCTGCCTTACCTTGCCAGGTTTGTCTTTGCTGCCGCTGCTGGTGGAGCTGAGGGAGCGCATCTGCTGCTCCTTCTGCTCCTCCACCTCGGACTTGAGGTGCTCGATGTGCACCAGGTAGGCCTGCTCCTGCGCCTCCCGTGTGCTCAGCTTCAGCTCCAGGGCCTTCTTCTCCTTCTCCAGGAGGTACAGCTGCGCCTTCAGCTCCGCCATCTCCTCCTGCAAGGCAAACCGCATACAGCACGTGAGCGCTGCAGAGCATGGCACAGCAGTGGGGGGAAAGGGACCTGGCGAGGCCCTGCGGTCCGGGCGGAGGTGTCAGTCTGAAGCCAGGAGTGAGAGGACCGTGAGAAGACGGTGGCTGTTCCCACACAGGTGAAGCCCAGAAGAGAAATCCATGTGCTCTTTACTCTAGGAACAGAACGGAGATAAACAAGTGGACTTACAGGCAGTCAGTATGGTGTGCTCTAAGGAAAACTTTCTCACAGCTGTCAGGGCCCCAGATGGGAACATGCATCTCGTTGGAAACTTGATCTCAGACATGTAAAGGCTGAGTTCATCAACCTAGCACTGCAAAGGATCCTCTGAGCACAGAGGTCTGGGTCTCACTAGGTCCCCACCAACTCCCATGCAGTTTCCATGGCTCCGAGTGCCATTTTTTTCATTAGTGTACATTAATTACACAGAACAATGGGGTTCATTTTGGCACAGTCACATATATGCATAGAACATCCTTTGATGTCTACTCTCATTACTCTCTGTCTGGCCCCCTCCCTTTCCTTTTCTCTTAGTCTTCTCTACTTTCATGCCAACCTTTTCCCCCTTGGAGTCCATAAAAGAGAGGAGACGTGACTCTTGTCACAGTCTGGCTTATTTTGCTTAATAATGACCTGCAGCTTATTTTGCTTTTGATGACCTGCAGCTCCACTCATTTTCCTGCAAGTGACAAGATTTCATTCCTCTTCTTGGCTGAACAATACTCCAGTGTGTATGCACACCGCATGGAACTAAGTTACAATAAACGTGGGCACACAGTTATCACTGTACTATGCTGATTTACATGCCTTTGGGTATACACCAAGGAATGGTGTGCCAGTTAATCTTCACTGTCAACTGGACTGAACTGAGAGTCTCTTAAAAGATGCCCGGACCATGAGGGAGCCAGGTTCACCAGTGGACTTCTGCTCATGTTCACAGGTGAATGTGCAGTAAAGATGGGGTGCAGATAGAGGTTGCTCACTGGTGGGGAGCCTGTGGAATGAATCCCACTGGTGCTCGGTGTACCACTATCATGAAACAAGCAGCTCTGTTCCACCATCCCTTTTTGCTTTTATGTTCCAGTCCTGGGGTCAGCTAACTATGGACTGAAACCTCTAAAATCCTGTGCCAAATTAAACCTTTCCAACCAATTTCCCCCTAACGATCAGACATAAAAACCAGGATGAAAGGTGTTTTCACACTGAGAAGCTTTCTCATCTTTGGCCATCAGACACAGGATTCTGAAAGTTCTGCCAACATTGCATGCTGAGCTTATGTGGCCAGTCACTTCCAGAATGAATATAAATGCAAGCCAGAAAGAAGGAAAGGTAAACTTACGGGTGCCAGAAACAGAAAGACAAGTCTGCCAGAGGAGACTGGCCAAGTGGGCAGACACCGCGTCGTCTGTAGACCTCATGATCTGCACTCTTCCCGTTAGTCCACTGGCAGGGACGTAGCTTCTGTGAATACAGTCCCATACTGTGACCCCTAGATCAGCTGAACTCCCAACATACCGCCTCAGATGAGAGACTAGAAAATACCTTTCCTGACAATGTCTAAGGAAACTTGTCAAGTCATAGACTTTGAGCCAGAAAGACTGAAAAATCCGTTCTGAGGAATCAAAGCCTTAACCTGGTGTCATTCGTTTTGTGCAATGCATAAATCCTAAACATTGGCAATAACCCTGTGAAACCCACACGCCTTCCTCAGGAGATCGCAATCCCGAGCAGCTCTGTAAGGACAGTGACAAACAAGGACCCATGCAGACATAGTCTCACTGGAATGAGCCCATGGAGGCATTCTCTGGTCCCACCAGGGGATGAAAATGAGCCCGGCTGAGGCAGAAGCACTGGATGTGACAGCAGGGAGAGTCAGCGTTTTTAGGAAATATGTTCAGAATGTGGAAAATGAAACAGCAATACTTCAAGTAGTTAAAGAGATCAAAGAATAGGAGTCCTAAAGAAAGGACAGGACACTCAAAAAAGAAGAGCAGATTTCAGAGGGGACCAAGGAGGTCATCTGGAAATGAAAAGATACTTAGCAAGATCATGTACCACAAACAGAAAACCCAGAAACTTGAGTTTCTCAGAGTATCTGACATCCCAGAGCAAAAGGGTGAAGGCCAAAGAACCAACGGGGTAATGGGTATGTTCCTGTGAGCACTCGGTGAGCAGCCCGGGAAGGAGGTGGTACTGGGGTTGAGACTCTGAAGTCCCCAGGAAGAGAACGCACCACACTCGCCATGGCTGTCCTGAGTCCTTAGGTCCAGCTTCTGTATTTTTTCTCTCCCAGCTACTCATAATTTTTACCATTTCAGAACATTTTAAAATGAGTGCGGAGTTTATTTTCAACAGACAGAAGGAATACTGGGGCTTTTATTCTATAAGAAGTGACTTTCCCAGCCAGAACAACACTGAATTTGTCACCCCAAGACTAGCCAGTACACAACAAGGAAACCTTAGCCTTTGGCCAAAGGAAACATGGTATTTTGAGTAAGTAACAGAAGAGCGGCCTCAGACTCATGCCACACAGCTCAAGGGTCCACAAAAGGGATCCTAACTGGGGAGAAACTCTCTGTGATTCCGGACCCACAGCTAGGTTCCGGTTGCTGGAGAAATCAGCCAGTGGTGTGAGGACTCCAGGAAGGAGGAATCCGAGCTGAGTGAGTAGATAAAGACATGCAAGCTTGGAGCAGGGAGTTCCCACCTCTACTTCCTCTGCCCGGATCCCCAGGCTCCACCCACTCAAGCTACAGCACCAAGGACAGGAACATGCTGAGGTCACTGGCGTGCATCAGGATGACTGCTGTTGACAGCACTGACCCCTCCTCAGAGATCACACTGGGTATTTCTTCATCTTTCTGGGGACTGTACTGGATCCAACAGTGGAGACAAAGGATGAGCTCCTAACCTGGCACCACTGGAACCCAGTCTGCATCCACTGGGGACCAGGGACATGAAAGACCCCAAGCCTGTGCAAGTCAGGCCTTTGTTCACAGGACAGGGAAATCTGGAGAGCAGGCATGGAAACACAGCCCCCAGCTCCCGGTTCCGGCTCATTAAGAGGGCCACCCTGGCACCACAGGGTCTGCAGGAGCAGCCCCAAGCAAGCTCCCTCCTCTAGTATAGGTGTGCTGAGATGTACACTGCACTGGACCAAAAAGATAAGCTTAACTGCTTGCCAAGGAGGAGCATCAGCTTTCCCAGAGAGCACCCTCCACTCCAGAAACGCTGGCAAATAACACAGCCACTGGGTGAGACCTTATCAGGAGCACTGGCCAGAACAGCATGGCTACCTGCACTGGTTTAAGCAAGCCCTACACTGTACCAAAGGCACCAGGGTGTCAGGAATCTAGGGCTTCCAGCCAAATCCAGCAGGTGGCTGCATCCCGGTCTCCCTTTGGAAATCAGCATCAGTGAGCTTTTCCCAGTGTTCGTGAGATTAGGCATCACTGTTTGGACCAGGCTTATTCTATCCTGCAGGAGTCTGGCCTGGCTTTGCTTGGAGACCAGATGCTGGGCAGCGGGGCTGGACCTGCTGAGGTGTCCTCTTCTCCAGGAATGTCCAGCCCAGAAGACTCCCAGACACACTGAAGCCATCACTGTCCACAGCGAGGCTCCATTTTCCCTGGTGCTGACCTCTCATCTACTGGCCCTGCCCTTGGGCCTGTTTGGTCTCCCTCTAAGCCCCTCAAACGCACCTTCATGGCCATCAGCTCCTGCATCAGCACGGCATTCTCTAGGTCCAGCCTCTGGCTGTCCCCCCGGGGCTTGACATCGTAGCTGAGCGGATCTATGTGGATGCTCTCCAGCTCTAGCATGGTCAGCTTGACCGCCGCTCTGTCATTCTTGAGCTGCTGGATATAATCCTTCAGCCTCTGCTCATCTTCTTTAGTGAACTCCGTGTCACAGCTGCTGGCTGTGGAGCTGGTGGTGCTTACAAGAAAGGAAAACACCAAGTTTCCAAGTGGTCACTAATAGACCTTTTCTCCTCACCCCATCATCCTGACATTAGGAGGCAACCAAAAATCAACAGAAAAACAAGTGGTATAACTTTTAGGGGGGGAAAAAAAGGATGAAGAATAGTTGAAAGATTTACATATTCGAGATAATGCTGTGTGCTCTGAAAATAAATTCCAGAAGACAAAACTGTGTACTCTAATGTGATCTAAAATAAAATTGAGTGTATTATTACAATATGGATCAAAAAATGAGGGAAATTATGTGGACATTAAAGAGTACTCCTGGTGCGCAGACTTACTCTGTATCCATCAACCTCCAGAGCATCTTCCCATACCCCCACTGCACATGCAGCCTGCAGCTTGGCAGAACTGCACCACTGGCCAACTCCAGACGACCCAATGGCTGCCCTGGATCCTTAGCACTGGCCTGTGCATTCTTTCCCTCCCAGCTAGTCATAATCTTTACCATTTCAGAACATTTCTAAAATGAGTATACACTTTGGGGGCTGGAGGTTTAGCTCAGTGGCTAAGCACCTGCCTTGGAAGCAGGCAGTCGTGAGTTCGATCCCTGGTACCGATAAAAAGGAAAAAGACAAAAAAAAAAAAAAAAGAGTATACAGTTTGATGATGGTATATTTTATGTGTAGAAAGGGGGAGAAAAATCATATGAGTGTAATCAAGACATGTGCACATGTGGATATGCCTTTTAAGAAGGGTAATGTTAGGGGAACAAAGAATTTGAAAAAAACTACCTCTGGCAGGATCTGCACCTGTGCGCATGTGCACACACACACCCATACCCACACCCACACTCCAAATCCCTCTGGGGTGGAACAACAGTAGTGAAGGGGGTGCTGTGCACTGAGTACTTCTGCTTTCTTATTGGACTGTGAAAACCATGTGTGCACAATATGGGAGTAACAATGTGGACAGTGGGTGCCTCTAGGCCTCTCCACAGGGCATTCTCTGGCCCACCAGAGGACGTCAGACCAGTGTGAACAGCCCAGGAACCCCTCACTTCATGGTGACCAGGCAGCAGGCTCTAGACTTGAGGGGTGCCCAGTCCTCTTCCAAAGACTCCTGCGGCTGGAAGTTATGCCAGGAGGAGGGAGAGGTCTCCACAGGATGCCCTCTTCACCCCATGCTGGAACAGGGGAACAGGCACAGGACCCAGCTCAGCCAGGGCAGTTCCATTCTTGTACATAAGCAGATCATAAAAAGAAAGCTGGTTGCAGTGGCACAGGTCTGTTGGTTCTGCTACTTGGGAAGCTGAGGTAAAAGGATCTCTAGTGTCTGGGAGTTCAAAGTCATCCCAGCTGGGCAAAACAGCAAGATGCTGTCTCAAAAAGGCGACGAAGAGAAAGAAAGAAGACAGGGTTTCCCCAGTTGGGGAGAAACCTACTGGTTCTGTTGCTTTGCAAAACTCTAAGGCCAAAGTGACCCGAACATCCTACTACCTTGTAGATCTATTCTTTCATCTGTGAAATGAAAGGAATAGCATTACATGCCCCATAAAGTTGTGGTAAGGGTAAAGCAAGGTAAACGTAAGGTGATGGAACCTATGCACAGCATTTAGGAAACACTTTATAAACACAGCTATCATTCATTTATGCAAGAAATACCCAGGTGCCTGCTTTGAGCCACCCAAATCTAGGCCCGTCCTTGCCACGGGGACTTCTATTCTAACAGGGAAGACAGGAAGTAAAATTACACAGTACATCACCACACAATGAGAAGTACCAGAGGAAAAAGTGAGGCCACAGGGTACAAAGAGTACAAAGTGGGGGTGGAGTTTATCACCTGAAACAGAGCCGGAGGGCTCTGCTAAAGGCTAGGAGAGCTGTGCACACACTGGGAAGACAACTGATCCAGGCTGAGAACAGAGGAAATGCTAAGGCTAGGAGCTCCGCCTGCAAGAAGGGACTGCAGCTGAGGCAGCCAGAGGAGCCAGCAGCAAGACTGGGGATGTGTGGAAGAAGTAGGTGCCATTTCAGCTAGGGTTTTACCAGGGCTGTGTCTAGAATTACAAGGGGTTTCCTCCAGAATCAGAATGGCAGTCAGTGGCTGGCTTGTAAGAGGAGTGACATGCTCTGCCCTACATTTCAGAAGGATCTCTCTGGCTATGCTAAAAGGCAGAGTAGGGAAACCAGGGTGGGGCTGGGAGGTCCCTCAGGAGCCCACTTCAACAACAGAGGGAAGGTAAAATTATTACTAATCATCACTGCTGTTTCCTGACACTACACCATAGAAAGGAAAAGTAGCACGTCTAGCTGGATACCTCAGGTGCTTTCCATAAAGAAATGATGTTGTTCACAGGAAGCCTGACAAAGCAGACAGGAGCATGGCTCAGGGCGCTGGGGAGATGCACCGGAGAGCCAAACTGCACAAAGGGGCTAATGCAGGAGAAAGAACAAGGGTCCACTTAGCAGTCCCTGCAGGCCTATCTGCAAACAGCTCTGTGGTAGGCACGCTGCATATAAAACTCTCAGAGTAGGGCGCAGAGCTCACCTTCACAGATGGTGGACTTTGACTTGGAGGGACAGACATCAAATGTTCCCCAGATGAATCAGCAAACAAATTAAAACAAACTCAAGAGGTGGCACTGCTCACACTATTTCACAGGGCTGAGTACAGAGCAGGGCTCCCCGCTATGGTATACTTAGATGGTGAGACACTGAGGCCTTCTCTTCCTGTCAGGCAGGAGGAAGCTTTAGGAATGCAATCTGTCCCTGTCAATCCAGGACTCTGGCCGAAGGTTAACTTACAATGTTCAATGTTGGCCGCCTTTCCTTTTCATGAAAAGTTATTTTACAAAGCTTTAAATGCTACAGAAATACACAGAATAACTAATACTCACATGCCTGTCACCCATACATTTTGTTATGTTGTCTTCACACTACTATTTTAGCAATACAACATTTGTACATTGAAGCATCATTGTTTCCCTATAAAATATGAACTGCAAAATTCAAAGAGCACTGAAAGCTAGACTTGTCTAAATCATTCTAAAAGAACTCAAATGATAATAGTTTGCAGGTTTTCTATTTAGCATGATTAGTCCACCCCAGCAGTTCTCAAAGAGGGTTCCCTGAGCTGGCTGCCGCACGGATATCGTCAACTGCCTGCTCTTGAAGCAAACCCCTCAGCCCCAGGGCCAGGGACCCTGGGAGTGGGCTGGGCAATCTGTGGATACGGACTCTGATGCAAGTTCAGCCTTGGGAACTGTTTGTCTTCCCCCCAGGTAAGAAGGCATGTGTTTAGTAGCATGTGAAGTAACTCGATACCTTCATGTTTTCTAGGTAGAGGCCACTGTATGTCCAGGTTGCTGAGGTGGACACTGGTGAGGGCCAAGGGTCTTAGACCCAAACCTGCATATCTCCCTTCCAGTCCTCTGGCCCTGTGGCTGAGTGAATTACCCCGCCCTTCGGGGAACACTAACGGTTCCCACCTCCCAGGTTGTAGAGAGGACAGCACAGTCCTGAAGCAGGAAGCAAGCAGGACCAGCCGGTGGTGCCACACAGCCCTCACTGTGGGTAAGAAACAAGGAGAGGGCACTCTTTCTCGACAGCTAGGCCAACACCCCACAATGCCTGCCACAGTACTCGGGATCCCTGAGAGACCCACCGTCTATAGCCATTCAGCAAACTTTGATTCAAAGAGGGAAAAAAGCAACCAGGGCTTGACTAGACTTTAGACACCACCAGATCTGCCTAGGAGAACAGAATTGAGACCCACAGGCTGTTACCCTCTGGGGCCTGGAGCTGGTTCCTGGCTGAGCAGGAAGCCTTCTGTTTCACCCTTTTCATTATGAGCATAGTTTTCAGAAAAAAAAGAACAAGGGAGTTCAGTTGCCAGACCCTACCCTGTGGGAAGCTCAGAGCATTAAACGCTCTTAAGCAGAGGAATGCAGAATTTCAGATAAGCACCACAGCCCAGGCCTCCAACCTCCCTCTCCCTATTCCAGGACACCAGCAGGGAACAGATCAGGCGAGGTTAATTACAATTTTGCTTCAAGCCCTTAACGTTCCACTGCGGAATATGATTATGACGATGAGAAGGGAGAGAAAGCCACTGGCCCTCCCTTGGCCTCCCGCAGATGGGGCCCTGGCTGCCTCCCAAGGGCCGCTGTCGGCCGGGCAAGGCTAAGTCATCCATTAACTCTCTCAGCTTGGAGCACAGGATGAGCTCAGCTGTTACAGCGAATAAATCACGTTCTGCAGACTGTCTAATTCCTGCTCTCAGCATGGAGGCTAGGACTGGGGCCAAAGGCCGGAAGGTGAGGACCCTTCCAGCCTACCTGGCTACCCGGCATTGTGTCTGGCTTGAGCTTTTTGAGGAACCAGGCTGAATGTGAGGGCTTCTGGTGATGCTCTGCTGCAGGTCCTGGTGCGCTGGCTTACTCCACATCCATCAACTTCTGGTGTACCTTCCTACACCCCCACTGCACACGCAGCCTGGCAGAATTACACTGCTGGTCGCTCCAGAGGACCCACTCTCTGCCCACCCTTGCTGTTGTGGAACAGGCTGTTAAAACCAGCTACTGATGTTGAACGCCACTGCCTTAGTCCCTCTATAACTAGTCCTGAGCAGCCTCAGCGCAGTTTGCATCCTGCTCATTAGTAGAAGTACTCATTTTCCTCAGCATGCTTTTCTACAAAGCTAAATGGGCATTTTCTTACTTTTGCCTAAAAAATCATTGATTGAGTTTTTCTACACCTCTTACCAATATCTTACTTAGTCCTGAGATCTGACTTCCATCAGAGAGCAGCTCCTTTTTAGAAGGGAGTACCAGAGACCAGGGCATCTGTTCTGTTGAGCATGTGAAATTGATTTGCAGGAGGGCTCAGTCCAGTGACATCTGGCACTCTAGCCACTCCAAAGTGGCCCATCCTTCTGTCCACTCTGCTGAGGGTAACCCCCACACACACCCTTTTTAACAAATGAAAGGATTTTGAAGCAATCTAAAACCAAATGCCATATCTCAAAGGCTTGTATGTTCTTGAATGGTTGTCTGAATTCTCCATAAGAAATAGAGGTTCAATGAGGGTAAATTACCCAACAAAATCTCACAAAATATGGATATGAAAAAATTGACAGTCCTCAGAAACTATGTAGGTCCAGAAAGCTCCTAGGAATTTAGCTGACAGGAAGTCAAAATAAAAAACAGAGATGCTTAGGAGATAAATTCTATGCATGCAGCCATTTTTAAAAGTGCCATCACACTGCTAATGGAAACTAGGCATCTCTAAACAACACTGATTCCTGGTTTGGTCACAGATAACAAACCAAAGCAGACACTTAAGAGTTGACAAGCACAGGTAGTCAAATTGGAAAAAAACACGCATTCTAATACCCCCTGTCAGTAAGGGTTTAGATAGAGAGGCCTCTTACACATACTGGCTGTAGAAGAATAATTCTGTCACACAGAGAAGGCTTTCTGCCATTGGAAACAAACTACTTCTGAGCCAGCTGATCCAACTTAGAATTGGTCCCACAGAAACTGCACAAGGACAGGTAGTGAGGACAGTGGCCACAGCAATGCTGTAGCAGTGGGAAACAATAGAAACCTCAAATGAGAGGAAACTTGAAATTTTAGTGGTACCGCCATCCAACACAAAACTTCAGCCACTGAGAAGACTACGGGAAGAAGCTGAACAATATGCTGCTAAGGGAAAAAGTCCCTCTCACGAGCGTCCATGCGACAGGATGCTCGGGAGGTTAAGAATTAGTTGCAGTTGTGTTTAAAGACAATGTGTAATGGTCCTTGAGATCCTACCTTTCAGACTCTTCTGCTGGGAATAGCAGCCCCTTTTGTTCTCCACCCCCAGGGCTCCTGTGGGAACTGCCATGGCTCTGCCCGGCTGTGGCCTTTGGGACTGCAGTTGGCCTCATGTGCAAGTGCAGATGGTGTGCTGGCTCTGCTGCTGCAGTGAGCAATCCGGGCAGGAAGACGGCACAGCCACAAGCACAGACTACACCAGCCAGAAGTGGAACCTGACACAGCTGGAAGCACCTCTAGGTTTGCTCAGGGTTGTGGGCCTCCAGCCTCTACCTCCAGCCTGGGTATGCTGCTCATGCGTACAGGCCTCTTAACCTTCCAGGAAGACCCTTGTGTTTACATTATAACAGCACAGCCCTGTCCTCCACAACCCTATCTTCATAAAAAGTGCAATTAGATCTGTGGCCCACACTGTTCTTCTGTCCTTTCCAGTGACACTCTTAGCAGGGAATTTTCTTTGTCGACCATGAACTTTGTAATCCTGGGACTTTTATTATTTTTGTCTATCTCTGTCTGTCTGTCTGACTCTGAATTGAACCCAGAGCCTTTGCAATGGGGTACATCCCCAGTATTTTTAATTTTTTTAAAATTTTGAGACAGTACTGCTAAATCATAAAGTTGCCCAGGCTGGGCTCAAACTTGTGATCTTCTCAGAGTGCTGGAATTACAGGTATGCACCTACCATATCCAACCTGCTTATTTTTACAATAAGCATATAATTCTTCTGAGATCAGGAAATTAGGTCTTAAAGAAAAAATATTTCTGACATTTTCCCATAAAACCTAAAAAGTAAGTGGCAAGGACACTTGAGCAGGAAGCATGATAACCATGCTGTCTGTCACACAGAAGGATGAGTCTCAGCTGGATGCTGAGCGTAGTAACACTAATAAGGGTTAATCCCCAGGACTCTGATGAACACTCCTGATTCTTGGATGGGAAAGCACATTCTTTTTTCCGGTAAAGATGACTTCTAAAACAGCCAGAGGTAGTCTGATTCTCATTCCCTGAAACTTACTGATGGTGATGGCAGAGGCCTGTCCTATCTGGATGGTTACCTCAAGCCATTTACCATTTCAGTAGACAAGATTCCACTGCTCACAGTGGTTCTTTCTGTTGCATGAAATTTGATCTTAATCCAGATGAGTTTAGAGGGTAAACACTGGGCAGGTCTGCAGCTCCATCACCCCATTACAATAGGGAGCTGCTGCCCCAGTGGGAGTGGCCAGGAGGTAGTGACCTGGTCCCTGCAGGTACAAAGAAGCTCACAGCATCTTTGCGCCTGGCTCACTTCACTGTCCGTATGTGCTGGAAATGGGCTGATACGCAACTGTTCCTCTCCTGAGAGCTTAAACCAGAGACTCCGATTAAGAATTCTCTATGCCAGGTGGTTATGGTGGGTGGAAAGGTGGTTTACTGGGTCACAAAAAACACCAACACAAAAAGTTCCTGTCTTGTTTTGCATAAAATTTGACATTGGGGAATGTCTGAGCCAGAATGGCAAGACTTTACAAGCAAAGCTATTGTGGTTGTTGTAATTGTGGAAAGGGTCTGCTGGCTGGGAAACACTCGTATCTGAAGTAGTGTTGTCAGGCCACATGAAAGCCATGTGTGGGTCTATACTATCAGAGCTGCTCTGCTGTGGATGGTAGGGGAAAATGAATTTCCAGAGATCTGAGCAGACTCAAAGCTAAACATCTTTGATGCAAGACCCATCTGAGACTGAAATTAGTTAAAGCTCTATTCTTTAGCAAGGTCATCACTGACTATAGAGATTCGGTGTTCTCAATTTAATTCAGTCTGTGGAAATATATCACCAAAAATTAAATTTCTGTCAGAAAACTGTCTCATAATCAAGGACCACCTGTATATTAACAACATAGTAGCCTCGCTAACAAATATTCAAAACCAAGATCTCCACTCATGGGAGGCAAACTGTCCTTACTTTTGACCAACTCCAAAGTTGGTTCTGATTGAGAATACAACAACAAAATTGCTTCGGGAGGCTGAGGGCCTAACCAAATGATCTTTAGCACAAATCTCATATACTACTGAAAGAGCACACATTTCCTGTTGACCCAGTGCTTACATTCACTAACTCAACAGAGTACTCAACAGAGTACTACTGACAGCCTGAGTACTCCACCGCTACCTACGTGATCAGATTATTTACATCTGGGCAAGACATCACAGGATTATCTGCTTTCTGTATTTAAACAGAAGAATTTGGTTTTAAGTAAAAAACAAATTGTTATCTGTGTCTCACTGAGTAAGACAACTGCTGTTGTGGTCAAGAGGAAATACCTCCTGTGTGTCTACAGGCACCTGGCCAACTGCAGGACTGGGACTGTGCCCTCTCGTGGGACAGGAGGTCCAGGACAGGTAATGGATGCACTGAAGCAGACAGCCGGACCAGCCAGTGGGAAAGACACGGAGGTATTAAACTGCTCTCAGGCACTGAGAAAAAAAATCAGTAGTTCTCTTCTAGCTTTTGTCCATTTGTCCTTATGTGGGTGTGGTCCCCGGTCAGCAAGTAGGTTATGCTTTATAACACTGCAGGTTCCAGTGGGAAGTACAATGGCTTTGTCTGAAGTCCTGGGTTCCCCTCTTAGCAGGCTTGTGGCCTCAGGCAGGTACTTTATATATCACTATGCCAAGGTTTTCTTACTGTGAAAACGATGTCATCTTTTTGTCTTTCATGATTTAGAAATCCCTTAAGAACCTGTAACAAAGGGCCTTCCAGACTGGGAACTGGTATATAAAAGGAAGGCATTCATGCATTTAGGGCTTCAGATAGCAAAAAATGAAACAGTTAACTAAGAAGCGGCTTCATTCTGACCCCCTCTTGCCCCCATCCGAAACGATCAAACGGTTCCAACCCGTTATGCTTCCCAAGGTCTTGACGGCTCGCATCATCTTTGTCAAGCACCCTCTCTAATTCTGTAGACTCACAGACTGAACTTAACCTCAGGTTCATGATTAAGTGCCTGTTAAGCAAGGCTGTGAATGTGGCGTCATTCAACAAGGAAAAAGAGATGAGAGGAGAGGCTCTTGTCTGCAAAGAGCTTGTAAAGGACAGAGGGCCAAGAGGAGGATGAGAGTGGAGGACAACTGGGCTAGGCCTTGGGAGCTTAGGGACCTGCAGCCGGTGAGCATCAGAAATCTCAGTGCTTCCTGAAATCAAGAATTACAAAGAAATGGAGAACAGACAGTAAGGAAAAAGAGCTCCAGACAGAAAAGTAGGTTTGGGTTCCCTCTCTACCTACCACTTTAGAGAACTAACCCTTTTTCGCTAGACTGCAGCTTCCACTCGGCCAAGTTGGAAGGCCACTTTCCAGCTCCCTGTTCTGTTTCTCCGACACCTTGGATGCAGCTGGGTACAAGCCTGCAGCGGATTCAGCCTCACCTAAGCTGCACAGTCCCGGACAGCCTGGCGAGAGGACTACATACAGACACAAGTACCCCCAGGGTAGAGGCTGGTGCTACCTGGTGTGGCTGTTGGAGGACAGGCTCTCCCAGGGCTGCACGCTGCAGCCGGCCACGGTGAAGGCTCCCCCACAGCTGCCATCCAGCTTCATGAGCAGGGCCTTGGCAGCATTCTCGGCCGTCTTCCTGCAGTCGTGGGCCCGCTTGAGCATCTGCGTAATGTTTTCATCCCCTGATTGGTCTCCTATGTTGCAGAGAAGCCGATGGATTCATTAGCACAGGCATGGGTAAGGTAAAGTGGAGAATACACTTGCATAGCCCATTCTCGTTCATTCAGGCATGGGTAGCACTGTGGGCAGCTACTGGCAGTGGCCACCTGACAGACCTATATTCTGGGCCCCTTGTGTCACCTAGAGGCTGCAGCTGGGAAGGCATTTCTCCGGTTGGGGCTCTATTGGCCTTATATGCAGACGGGCAGAGCAGTTTTCAGCCCGCACACACTGACTTTTTAATTATCTGGGCTCTTGGTTTCTCCTATTCTGGGGCCTGTCTGGGCACTGGCCATCTTGGTGAGTGAGGGCAGGGAGAAACTGAGGCAAGAAGGTCCTCTCTCCACATGTCAGCTTTGGCTAGAGCTTTACGGAGGGGTACAAAAGGCAAAAGTAATCACTCAAATGAGAACTTCAGATTAACCCTGTAATTTCTGCACCAATGCCATCTCTAGCTGTCTTGACTTAGAAATGTTGGCTTAATGCAGATGCCTCTGGGAGATAGGTGACTGGGCTGGAGCAGGACATTGAGGCAGGGTGGGTACCAGTACAGAGCCAGACAGTGAAGTTCCTGCCAAAAATGTTCACATTCTTGTGATTTAAAGCTGTGATGGAAAAGACCAAACTATGGAGACACTAAAAGAACAAGGATTGCCAAGGGTTGAGAGGGTGGGGGAAAGGAAAGGGAGAGTGACTAATTGGAGCACAGAAGATTTTAGACCAGCAGAGCTACTCTGTATGACCTTGTAATGTTAAATACATGTCATTATATATTTGTCTAAGCCCATGGGATGAACAACACCAAGGGTGAGGCCCAGTGTTAACTGTGGCCTTTGGAAGTGTCAGTGTAGGGTCATCTTTCTAATCTATCACTCTGGACACACTGTCCATAGGCAGGGGCAGTAAGCACATGGGGTGTTTCTGTACTTTCCTCTCAACTTTGTTGAGAATCTAAAACTGCTCTAAATGAACCAAGTCTTGGGCTGGGGATTTAGCTTAGTGACATAAGCATCTGCCTGACAAGCACAAAATCATGCGGTCAATCACCGTACAAATAAATAAGTAAATAAATAATGTCTTAAAAAGCATAACCAAAACTGTGTTTGCTACCTATGCTACATAAGTCTATGCTCTTCCAAACATTTTCAAATGAAATCTTAAACTCTGTATGTTGAGCCTTAAAGAACAGTAACCATGAAACTGGGTAAGATGGGAGGGTTGGGGTAGCGCAACTCCTCACCCTTCAAACCCATCGCTGAGGCCGAAAAAACTCTTCCAGCTCCCAACGGCCCAGTGTGAAAACCTGAACCATCTCAAATGGACTCAGTGAATGTCTGGAAAGTCAACAAGAAAAGCAAACGGCCGTAATAATAGTTACTGTGGAGAACATCACAAATGAGCTCCTCCTATACAGAGTGACACATTCATTGCTGCTGTTGGTAGAATGAAGGGTGAGATTCAATGTGAAACTGCCACCAAATGAGGGCGACCCTGCATGGAGAAGCTGGGAAGTGCATCCTGCAGGCTGGGACTCCCTAAACTTCCTGCGGGCCTTTTCTCTGATGGACTTCACACCTTTTTTTGTTTTCGCAAAGATATTTTACATACGTCTCACCAACCATTTAAATTCTGAAGTAGATTACTGTCTGGCTCATCTCATAAGTATATACATGAGCTGCCCAGTATTGAGTAAATACAAACCATTTCATTATTAATTTTAAGTGTTTTAAATGTATACTTATTTAAGCTTTCAGCTTCTATAAGAAATGGGTATGAGTAGGGACAAGCCTAAAAAGGTCCTATTTTGAGATGGAATAGGTTAAGACATTCCTCTGATAAAAACTGGATAGCAGATGATTGATTTTTTTCCTTTACCTGATTATCTATCTATGTGATAGCAGGCCAAGATCATTTAGGTTCTATTTCACATGAGGAATAAAGGTTTATGGCTCAGTCAAAAGAGCCTCAAAAATGAGGTTTCTAATGGAAATGCTGGCAGATTCCACTTCTGGGCTGGGATGGTAATGTAATTAGAGAGAGAAAGAGAAAGGTGGAAGCCAGTCGCCCATGCATATAAAGGTCATTTGGCTGCCTTGCCAGATAACTTGGCGATGCAGCAGGAAATTAATGCCCAGCTTGTTTCCTTTCCTCCAAATCTGATTCCAATTCCTGTGCATGTCATGGCTGAAGGAGGGAGAACATTTAAAGGTCCGATGTGAATGCTGGACACTGGCAGGAGAGGGAGCAGCCTGTGACAGCAGTGACAGTGGGGACACCTGGTCTACCCACACCGACCCACCTCTGGCTGAGGAATGACCTTGTTACTTCAGTTCTGTTTCTTGCCACTGCTTCTCTAAAGATGCTGCTGATGCAGAGGTAGTGTCACGTACTGAGGGTACCCTTCTCCAAGGCCCCAGCACTGTCTCCTCAGCAGTCTTCTTCTGGTCACTGCAGGCCTCAGTGCCACTATCACTGGTTGCTGTTCAGCAAATAGTGCTCAGCAAACACCTATACTGTACCTTTTTCAATTAAATACCCCTTTTCAAGCACTCAAATTTGAGAAGTGGAGGTGGGGGGGGGGCAGTGTAGATCCTAAGATACTAATTAGGCCAACGGGAGACCTGAACCCTGGAACAGGGACAGGGAAGGTGTCAGGGAGGCATGAGGGTGGTAGAGCCTCTCTGCACCATGGCTGGGATCAGAGGATATGCAGTCTGTCAGGGGTGTGAAACTACTTCTTATTCATTAAGACACTGAGAGCAGAGATAGGAGCCCAATGCTCCAAAATTACTCAGAGGAACAGACTTGGGAAACACACAGCAAATGAGAGCAACGAGACCTGGCAAAGGTCATAGAAAGGACCCTGGAAGGCAGTATTCCGGGGGGTCAGTTCCTTTCATCACTAAAGCGGGCTTCCCACTCCATCTGGTCCTCGTGCCAGCCCAGGAGAGTATGTGTTCTAAGGAGGCTTGTTTGTTTTAACTTGTCTGTAATTCTGTTTCCACTTCAGTTATTGCTGCATTCAACATAAACAATTTACCCACTCAGTCATGAGGAAAAACGAGAAACACACTTGACAAGCGAATTTCACAAGGCTGAAAGATGGCTCAGATGGCTCAATGCTGGCAGCTGAGAAGGGGTGGCGAAGCATGAGAGGCTGGGAAATGGGACGGGGAAGAAGGGCAGACGGACTCAGGGGAAACTCACCAGGGGAGGAGCCCACGCCGGCCGCTCGGAACTGCCCCAGGATGAGGCTCTGCTCACTCTCAGCCAGTGCGAGGAGGAGCTCATAGGCTTCTATGCACTGCTCACTGAAACAAAGCACAGGGCTCCCTCAACTCTGGCAGGGACTGGGAGCCAGCCGTTTCCTGGGTGGGAGCAGCTCACGATCTGGCTCAGCCTCACCATCCACATAAAGGAGGAATCTACCCAGGAATACGCCCTGGAAAAGGCCTGTGGCTTGCTCTGTATGTTGGTCTTTAAAAAAAAAAATGCAGGGTTCTAGAATAATACAAGAGAAACAATATGGTGGTGGGAGAGGCAAGTTGGTTGTCCTCTGATGACCTGTGACATACCTATGGTAGCCTCACAGGGGCCCCCATGGACTCCCACACCCGATATCTCTGCCCTTGTGCTGTTACATGGTTGATCACTGTGATGAATAGTCACTGGTAGACTGGTGTGCCACTCTCGAGATTAGATTATTAAAAACGCTGGCTTCGTCTTGGTCACCAGCTCACCTCCCCTTTCCTCTTAGCTCATCTTCTCTGGAGGCAGCTGCCATGTCTTCACACTCCCAAGCTGCCCTCTGGAAAGGCCATGTGTCGAGGAACTAACGCTTCCACCCAAGGCCAGGGAAGAAGAGAGGTTCCTACCAATGGCCATGTGAGTGACCCTACTCAGAATAGATGTTCCAGTCCTAGTTAACGTTTCAGCCTGGCTGGCAGCCCAATCAGGGCTTTCTAAGAGTTCCTGGACCAAAACTAAGCCAATCCCAGCTTCTTGATCCTCAAAATTGTGACATAATAATTTGTCAAATAGCCATTGATAACTAATATAACACCCCTGAAAGAGATCATTTTGACTAGACTTGAATTATACAGTAACCATTAGCCACATATCTCTATTTAAATTTAAAATATTTTAAGTTAAATAATACAAATTCTGCTCCTCTATTGGTGTTGCCTTTTGGGGGAGGTACCAGGGATCAAACTCACAACCTTGCGCTTGCTAGGCACTTATGTTGCTGAGCTAAACCCTGGGCCCATTTTTTGCATTTAAAAGTCATGTATGGCCTATGGTTACCTCAGTGGTTAGTACACAGAACAATTCCATCATGGAAAGTTCTTTTATGGACTTATAAAATAAAAATAAAAAAACCAAAATGCCTCATGAAACACTCTCAGGACTTCACAAGATCTCTTATTTCTAAGAGTTTGAGTCTGGGTTTCTAAGAAAACAAGAAACAGTTGCTCTGCCTCCATCATCCATTGGGCAAACAGGGTAGGTAGACCAGCTGGTTTCTTGCAGCCTGGTACCCACACTGCAGAAATGTGGATGGGGAGCACAGCGAGTATGTGGCACTAGTGTGGTCTGAGTGAGAGGCTTGCAGTAGCAAAGTGTCTGCCTCAGCAAAACTCATAATTAGCTCCTGGAAGGAGGCTATGGGACACGTTGCCCTTTCCAATGCTTATTTGAGAGGACATCTGCTTTGGCTGGTCTTTACATTTACTGTCATGTACTAAGAGTTAAGGGAAGGGGCCAGATCACTAGCTTGAGGTATTGATATACATTTCAGGTTCCAGATGTTAGGACAGCTCATCCATGAGGCTGTGCTGCATGTAGAGGAGGCCCTTTCTGAGCAAAGACAAACTTGGCAGGGAGATCACTTGTGTTCAGACTTGTGCTAATGGGACTCAGGGATATAGCTCAGCGGCACAGAGCCTGCCTTGTAAGAACAAGATCACAAGTTCAATTTCTGGTACCAAAAAAAAGGACTCGCACTAAGGAAGATTTTCTGCTTGTTTGATGTATCTGTAAAAGTGTATGGCTGATCTCAGTTTTGGTTTCAATACATTAATTTTTTTTTTAAAAAAAGAAACAACATTCTTTTTTTTTTTTTTTTTAATCGGTACTGGGGATTGAACTCACAACCGCCTGCTTGCAAGGCAGGTGCTTATGCCGCCGAGCTAAATCCCCAGCCCCCTAGAAACAACATTCTTAAAACACTCGAACTTTTTAGAAGATGTTAAAAGTAAGATACCATCAACTACCTGGAGATCTTGGCAACTATGCTTCAGTGGTGACACTAACACAATAAACCAATGAAGACACTCATAAAATAGTTTTGTAGCTTTTTAAAATTTTTTTGGAACTTACTACGTAGTTACGTATTTCAGGCTGGTCTTGGGCTCACTTTGTAGCCCAGGCTGGTCTCAAACTTAAAAATGATTGTCCTGCCTCAGCCTCCCAAGTTCTGGGATTAAAAGAGTGCGCCACCAAATCTGGCTAAGCTTTAAACAAGCATTAATTTAGAAACTGATACATCCAAAGCAGCTGCAGCTGCAAAAAAGTGGTATATTCACACATCACTTGCTCACCAATGAATGGACATAGTGGTTCAAACTGGCTTGGTTGTTACGGGGGAAAAAATGGCAGATCATTTGATCAGCCATGAAAATATTCATATCATTTGACCCATGATTCTTGCTTCAGAGAGTTTACACTAAGGAAAATATTCAAAAGAATGAAGATCTTATCCTTATTAAAATATACATCATTAAAAAATTTATCCACTATTCAACTACTTTCAGTATTAAAAGGCTGTATGTGTCAAAATGTGTTTTCAGAGAAATGAAGAAAATGAAATATATAAACAATGCAAGGGACACAACCATTTAAAATGAAAAACTATGATATTTAAAAATGATGACATTAAAAAAAAACTATGACATGACGAAGAAACAGGAGCTGAGTATCATTGCAGTCCCCTACAATTCTAGCACTCTGGGAGACTGAGCTGGAGAATGTTATGTTGAAGCCCAGGCTGGGCAATGTACCATGACAGTGGGAGGGAGGGAGGAAGGGAGGGAGGGAGGGAGGGAAGGAAGGAAGGAAGGAAGGAAGGAAGGAAGGAAGAGAGAGAGAAGAGGAAGGGGAGAGAAAGAAAAAGGAGGAATGGAGGAAAGAGAAAAGAAGTGCACTAGATTTATAATAATGTCTAATATATATGAATAAAAGACTAGAAAGAACTAATGAATGTATAATGTGAAAACTGGTATTCTGAGCAATATTACTTGAAAAAATAGGTGGAGTACAGTGAAAGAATATTTCTAACTGTAAGAGGCACGGCTGTGTGTCCTCCCCCCCAGCTCCGCACCTGTACTGCAAGGCCAGCCTCAGCGCTGTGGCGTTGGACTCGTACTTTCCCACGAGCATGCTCATCCTCTCAGCATTGCTTTTGCATTCCTCCAGGGTTATGGTCAGGAGGTCGTTTTGGGATTTGAGATGTTCAATACGGCTACAAAGCAAGGAAAATTACTGTCACTTAAGACTGGAATTCATTCGCCAATATTTTAGTTCTATGCAGGTCAGGAATGCACGTTACTATGTGGGTTTGTCATGTGCCTTCACAAATGCAAATGACACAAAATCATCAAGGGAACAATTCTAAATAAAACAACCATTAAATTCTCTGTGAATCAGAAGTAAAAATTAAGCCTCCGGGTTGTTTTTTGCTCTACTGTGCTCTACATGTTCCATGGGCCAGGTACTCTGCGAGGTTGGAGATAAACAGAAATAACAGCTACGTGGTGATCCTACCAGTCACCCGGTACAGCTGCATGGTGCTACTTACTGAGGCTCTGCTCCTATGGTAGCTGTGGAACCAAGATTATTATCTTCATCCCCCCAAGAGGAAGTAAGGGCACAAGATGGTTAAGTGTCTTGCCCAGGGATCTGACCCAGGCAATCTGGCCCCAGGCCTTCTCTTCCCTACACACTACAGAACGGAAGCAAAGGTGATCAGTGAGTGAACAAGAAATCACCGAGCTCTCGCTCGCTGCACCAGGACCTAGAGATGGTGCCACAACTCCAACCAGGTGGGGTGGGTCAGCAGCTACACTGGGGTCAATGAGAACCTTTGTGTTTTTATCAGATCCAGAAATGTATACTCAAGGCAAGTAAGTGTGTGGTAAAGTGGGCAAACAAAACAAAATAAAAATCAAAACAAGAAATCTCCAGCTTCTCTGCTTTCTGGCCCGTGAAACACACCCTTGTATAATACTCTGAGCACCAAGTCTTACAGAGACACAGAGTTCCACGTTCACAAAGTGCAAGTACCTCTTACAGTGCTAAGGGTGTGGAAGCCATCTGTCTGGAGAATAAATCTCAGGGTCACCATCTCAGTGGAGAGTACCGGACACCCATCCAGGTGGACAAGGTGCAGCAGGCCCATAACCAAGACCACCCTCTGGCCAACGCAAGGTAAGGCGTTACAGAACAAGTTTTCTTGTCTTGTTCACAGTTAGATCTCCTAAAACCTCACTCTCTAATCTATGACTCTAGCATACAGTCAGTGCCCACTAATTAGATGAAGTCTTTACTCAGCTCTAGGCCTCCACAGGGCCAGGCCCCAAATGCTCCCTCTCAGATGCCTCCCTCACTTAGATCAGGGGTCCTTGTAGTTTTTGTCTTGACCCATGGCAATTTCTTCCCCGTGGCCTCCTTCTTTACAGAAGTTGTGAGGACTGGCATTCGCTCAGGGCTCCACTGCGGGGCTCAATCTCACCCTAGGGGTGATTTGATCCAGTCCTTGATTATAACATGCGTTTCTATTCCATGAGTCCCAAACTTCTCCAGCCCAGACCTCCCTCTGAGCCCCAGTCAGAGTATGCAGTTGCCTACTGCTGTTTTCATCAGGCAGTCATAGGCCAACTTCCTGTTTAACAGCCCAAGAGGAAATTACTGATTTTCCTCAAACTTTGTCCTCCCCGACTATCATCCCTCCAATTGTACAGGCTGGACATGCGAGCATTTTGAGATCAGCCTTTCTCTTACTTCCAGACCTCACCCGCTGGAGTTTCCACTGGTTCTGCTACCACATGCATCCTGAAGCAGGCCTGCTGTGCCACTGTTTCCTGCGACCACCTCTCTGCTTCCCCCTTACTCTTCACTCTAAGTGATCTTTCCAAATGTAAAAGAGATCCTGTTCTTCCCCCACTAAAAATCCTCTAACAACTTTCAATCACATTTAGAATAATGAGTAAACTTTGCCTGTGGCTTCAAAATCCCTATCCCGGGGAGCCAGGCCCTTCCCTTCCCTCCCTTTTCCCTTACCCTAGCTCATTCCCACTGGTTTGCAGACACTGCCTCCTCCATAGCTGCTTTTTTTCTAGTCTTGAGGTTGGTAACTTGATCTGTAAGGCTCTTCTTGGTTTATCACATGGCTTCTCTCTGTCTGTCTCTGTCTGTCTGTCTGTCTGTCTCCTGCCCCCTCTTTCCCCTCTTCAAAACTTTCCCAGACCAACTATTAAAACACTCAAACTCTCAGTGGCACAGTGCTTACCTAGCAGAGGTGAGGCTCTGGATTCTATACCCAATACTACACACAAAAACAAAACAAAAAATAATCTTCCCTGTCACTCTATCAGTGCTCTATTTATGGTCTTGGAGCTTTCTTTCCTTATTTATGCATTTTTGTTTATCTACCCCAGCAGAATATAAGCTCCACAGTACAAAGGACTTACTCTGTTTTACATACTACATATAATAGGGAGAATACAGTAGGAGCATAACACAGACATACGAAATGCGGAAGTATATCTTTTTTTTTTTTTTTTTTGGTCTTTTTCCTTTTTATCGGTACCGGGGATTGAACTCACGACCACCTGCTTGCAAGACAGGTGCTTATGCCCCTGAGCTAAATCCCCAGCCCCTACCGAATTATATCTTAAGTAATATGACCTCTCCTCTCCCTAGCCCTCAGAAATCAAAAAGTTAAAGGCTATCATTTAGTGGGAGTAATAGGCCTTCCATGTTGAGACAGGTAGCTCAGTAACAGACATTTGGACATACAGTAGATTATTTCTAGGTCCCTAGGTTGCTGCTGTAGCTATGATCACAGAATAGATAATGGAAGTGAGGTCAAAGGGCAGGAATTGGAATTCCGCCTCAGTTATTTAATAGCTCTAGACTAAAGAAAGGTCACTTTACTTCCAACTTCAAAGCCTTTGTTTTCTCATTTGCAGGATAACACTGTACTACTCTTACCCTTATAAACTGAAGATTAAGCAGTTGTCTGTGAGAGCCTATTGTAAACTGCTAAACAACGTAATAATATGAGCCACAACTACCAAATATCTCTTTAATCTTTGGGCTCTCCTGGTTGTGCTTAATTTAGGAAAAAGGAATCTCCAAGTACAGCCACAAAGCAGGCTTGTTAAGTATCACAGTCAGGAGAGAGCAGATCCCCACTACAGTGAGGGCCCCTGAAGGCATATGACTTCATTAAATAGCAAAGAGCATATCTGATTCAATTTTGAAGCATCCCAGGCTGTGATACTGAGAAGGCCGCTTCTGCATTACTGTCTCTTGGTAATCTTCAGGATTGTCACTCTAAGTATTTAGGATTTAGTAAGGAAACTATTTAATTTTAAGATTTTAAATGACCTAGCTTGTCACATTTCTTTAATTCTCAAAAACTGAATTAAACAGCTTCAAATCAGGTATGACTAACATGATAATTTATAAGTTTTTCTGTGCACAAGAGGAATGGAATTAAGCAGTGGTAGATGGGAAAGGTATCGACATTTCTTGCTCCTTAGCTCACAAGCTTTCTAGTTCTTACTATGCTCTCCTGGGAAAGACTGGGAGGCCAAAGTAGCCACAGTATTCTTGGATATGGCTCAACAATCCACTCTGCAACCACGGAACCACGTCTGAGTCAGGCCGATTAGCATGGTTTGGCCATGATCCTTTTCCTTTGCTTTTTTAGCAGCTCTCACATCACTAGGATAATACACAAAACCAAGATTTTGCCAAGAGGCAGAAGCAGAAATTCAAACTATCTCTGTTGGCAGAACTAGGAAGAATCCATACAGCTATAGGTAAATTTATTCTCAGTAGGACAATTAGAATGTGATGTTGGGACTCAGCATTGGGTGCACTGGCAGAAGCATAAATAAAACTTAGGGAATGAGCAGGAAGAACAGGAAGAGTTAGACCAGCAGGCCTGGCCAGCACCAGAAGCGCCTGTACCAAACTGCCTCTGCTGCTTCCTGGTAGGTCCAGGCGCCTCTGGGATGCTGACTCAACAATCCATACCTCCTCTCGGTCGCTGCAGTGCAGGCCCGCACACTCCGGAGCCATCTGTGTGAGACCTTCTGGCCCCTCTCTGTGTACCACTACCAGGACTCACCACATACATAATGTGCAGGGTCCAGAGTGAGATGAAAAAGTGGGGTCTCTAGCTCATAAATCACTTAAGAATTTAAAACAGCAGCAACTGTGAAAGCAGTACAGAGCCTTTCTAAGCAGGAGGCCACGGGAATGCAGGCCACACACCCATGAAATTGCTGCAAGTACTCCTGAGCCCTCAGGGCAGAAGGAAGCTCCTGGCCCCCAGCTGGACGGCCTTGTTCCAGTCACCTCACAATGGTCTTCAGAAAGGAAGGGGAGGCGCAGCTCCCACCCCTCAAACAAGCGTGGAGTATTGCTCCTTACCTATTCAACCGTTCTGTTTCCACCTCAAACTCTCTGATCTTGCTTTCAGAGATGGCAGATCCATGCGAGTATAGTGTCTGGAAAATCTCCTGGATGTTGGAGCAATCCTGAAGCGAGTGTGCCAGGTGTTCTGCCACACTGCTGGACACCTGCACGAAACACATTAATTCCTTTCTAAGGAGTGTCATTTCAGAGATACGGTCCCTAGGCACACTCTGCACGTGGACAATTTAAAGCCAAGATTCCTTGAGAATCTGGCATTAGGACATGGTTACCTGATGGTTCTTGGTTTGTGTATTATAACTCTAATATAGAAAGCTACCTACTGTGAAAGTGTAAAGCATGATCAAAATACAGCAGCACCCCACAAGTTCACAATGCTGGTTCTCACCTTCTCTCCCTAGTTCTAGCTCCCGGATACCCCACACCACTGTCTCTAGTCACTATAGCCAAAGCAACAGGGTGCAATTTTTGCTCCATGCAAAATTTCATTTTAGGGCCTTAAAAGTGTTCTTCAGGCTCTCTCCACTCTGTAGGATCAAACAGCCTTATCCAAGTCTCATGCACCATCCTCAAAGACATCCCTCAAAGAACTGCAAACTGTTTCCACCTCAAACTCTCTGCAAACTGCAAACTGTAACAACTATAACTACTCTCTTGTCACAGTCCATCAGTTCTTATGCCCTGGAGCAGGCTCTACAAACAAAAACTCTGATACAAAACTGGCAGGCTCTGGTCTTTCCTGGCACTACACTATGCTTCAAAGGCAGCATTCCTCCTCAGCAGAGAGCAGGTCTCTTGCAAAAGTCATGTGCAAAAGGCACAGTTCTTTCGGAGTGTCACAACTCCCTTGGGCCCCAGGAGAGACAGGCAATATAAAACAGGTATCTCTAGCCTTTCATTCATATCACCAGGAACTAGACCCAAACCGTTTCTTTTTGAATGATATCAAATAGGGAAAAGAAAAAAAATCCTCCCTTTTATCTCGAAAAAATAATTCACCATATGGAAATGACTATACACTATAATTTGACCCTGTGTAAAGAAACTAAGTATAGTTTATTATAATAATTAACTGGTAAAATGGAGGTGGAATTTAGAAGTTCTTTTATAATTTGGGAGCAACTGTGGATGCCTGTTGGGTACCTTATTCCTTTGCCTCTCAGCAACACTTACCCCAATGCTACTGATTTCTGAGCCCAGGACTGGCCGATCAGATGACGAGGATTCGGACCTTGTCTTTGATAACTTCACCCTCTCAGCAATCTTGAAAACAAGACAGTGATCAAAAAAGTGTACATGCCCTTCAGATTAACTATGGAAGGCCTAAACTACACTGATTCATTAATGTCTTCAAAACTTCTCACTTGCCAACTCTTCTACCATCCCTTTAACTCGTGGCTTCTCAACCTCAGTAGCACTGACACTGGGCTGGAGAGGTCTTTGTTGTGGGTGCACTGAGTAGAGTGCCTCTGGCCTCCAGCTGCAAGACCTCAATAGCACTGCAATTCTGACCGTACCCAAGGTCTCCTCAGGCACAAACCTACTTGCAGGTGAGAAACAGTGGCTTCACCTAAACTTACTAAACTGACAGGTGAGAAATGAACTTACTGTGGAGACTAGTAGGGCTACCTGGCCATTCCACACTTAAATAGTCTTTCTGTGGTAGATGTGACACAGACTGGGGGCTGGGGCTGCCTTCCCTGCCACAGCCTGCCCCATGACCTTTATCTTTTTGCTGGTAGAACGGTGGGACCTGTAAGTGGGGAAGATCATTGGCTTGTTATTTGAATCTCTCCTGAGGTGAACCTTAGTCCTTGAGAGCAGCTATTGTCTAAGGTGAAGTGCCAAGTGCCGTAGCACTTAACCTAACATCTCACTCTCACTGTGACTTGTCAGCTGTGACATTTTCCAGCCGGCTGATTAATGGGAGCCAGCGTCCAGGTTGCAGCCAGTTGAGACATAAAACTATTAGTGGGTTATCTCTCTCTGCAGCTCAGTGTGAGAGGCCTGTGCGAAGTCCCAGGAGAAGCCCTCTGGGTGGCTGAACTGGTAACATGCCTGCAGTGGCGTGCTCAGCAGAGGCTTGTACTTTTAGATAACAGGAGGTGTTCCTGCCCTCACTCTGGTCCCCAGGAGCTCACCTTGGCAATAGGAATGTCATTGCTGCTGCTGCTGGTGCTCAGCTCTCCTGTGCTGGGGTTAACTGGGCGGTTGGCAGAAGTGAGGCGGCCAGGGCTGGAGGGGCCTGTGGCCTGCACACTCTGCAGTCGAGTTTGAAGCTCTCGAACCTGAAACCATAAGGCAGTGAGACAGGACTGGTGGTTTCCTGGTCATCAGACATAGAGATGAGTGCAGAGGGAGGAAGATAAAACCAGAGAGCTGGCTGCCCATATTGCATAAACTCACCCCAGAAGAACAAAAGCAGAGTGTAAACTGTAGCACAACAATGAAGTTTAGGGTACTTCAAGAACAAGAAATAATGCAATGCAACAGGCAGGTATCAAAAATATCCATTATGAGCGTGGAGCATCTTAGGTTCTGAGGGCAGAGGTGTTGGTCCATTTCATTTGCTAACACACAGCTGGTGCCTTCGACAGACTGACAGCTGGTCTCCAGAAAAACCAGCCGAATGTCACTAAAAAACCTGGCACCATAAAATCTAGTACCTAGCAAGACTATTGTAGTAGGCTGACTTGAGGCCCCCAAAGTCCATGTCCTTGTCCTTGAGATGTGTTTGTTACCACAAATACAAACTGCATTTGAGATAGGAAGCCAGTCCTTGCAGGAGGGGAGGAGCAGTGTCGGAAGCGAGTGCTGAGGACGCTGCACTGCTTTGCAGAGAGAGTGCACTCACACGGGGCAGGCTGTCTCTGGACCCTGGGAAGGCCACCAGAGGCGACTGTCCCTCCCCTCAAGCCTCCAGAAGGCCACAGTCCTGCTGACACTGGAGTTGTAGCAGATGTGAAACATTCTAGATGCTGCACTTTCAGAATTATGGCATGATACACATGTGTTCAGGCACTAAGTTACCGATCGTTTGGCATGCATCTGCAGGAAGTGATGTAGCCAGCAAGTGGGTGGGCAGCGCTCCTGTTGAACCTAAAAAGCTTGATTTCCTACAAAGAGCTGACAGTTGAATGTTGGTCAGCAAAGGAAAAGAGGGTAGGAGAGGGAGGGATGGTGAGTAAGAGGCAGATCAATGGGTACTAAGTTCAGTTAGAAGCAAGATGTTCTGATGTGCTCCTGCAGAGCAGAGATAACAATTACATACTTTACATTAAAAGAACTGAAAGAAGGAATTTTGACTATTCACCAGTAAGAAACATAAATGGTTAGCTAGGCCTGGTCCCTGGGAGACTGATGCAGGAGGATCACAAGTTTAATTCCAGTCTATGAAATTTAGCAATTTAGAGACTCTGTCTCGAAATCAAGACTAAAAAGAGCTGGGGAGATACAGCTCAGAGTGAAGGCCCTGGGTTCCATTCGCAGGACCAATAAATATATGAGTAAATAAATAACAGGAAAGGTTTGAGTAGATATGCTAACCTGATTTAACAGTATATAATCAAAACATCTCCTTATCCCATCAGTATGTATAATTTTTGCTTTTATGTGTTGGTTAAAACATAGGCCTGACTAGATGGCACACACAACAGTCCCAGGTACTCTAGGCACTGAGGCAGAAGAACTGCTTAAGTGAGAAGTTCAAGACCAGCCTGGACAACATAATAGACCCTGCCTGTAAAGTAAAATTAACAATTCAAAAGTTTTTTTTAAGTGTAGGCAAAAATAAAGATATTTTCAAAGATTAAGAGTTTATTACCCATAGATCTTTGCTAGAACTTCCTTTGGACACATGCTTAGAAAATTAAACCCAGATAACATTGGGATGAGAGAGTATAAAAACTGCAGCTACAGGATCCAGGGATATAGCTCAGCAGTGCAGCACCTGCCTGGCAAGCACAAGGTCCTAAGTTCCTTTCTCAGAACAAAAACACAAAAACTAAACAACAACCATAACAAAAATGCAGGAATGTAGAGGCAGGACAACCCTCTCATATTGGTGCTGAGTGGACAGACTGATGAGCCAGTCCAAGAAGCCACTAAAATAATCATGACTAAAATAATCATATCCACATCCTATGCCTCAAGGGACACAGAGGAGAACATGCTCTAAAGAGCTCAAATAGGAAGTGGGAGGCTGTTGGCCCAGTCCACGTGAGGGTGGGTCAGCACCTGACACTAAAAGTCCTCAGGTGCATCTGACTGGATGACAGACAGCATCTGGGACAGATCTTGCAACAAGAGTGCTGAGGTGAAGAAGGGCTGTAGCCTAGAAACTTCCTCTAGGTTAAAAAGAACACACCACACATTGTATGTCTTAGAAGGACACATACACACCACAGGGGGAAGAAACTAAAGTACAAAAGGAACAAATAAATTCAAGGAGGGATCTTACTCAGACCAACAGGTACACTTCTGACTGAGGCATGTAATTTGCTGATCTGTGACCCTCTAGAGTTACAGCAAAACAAACACACGCAAGAAAGTTACACAGAGAGGTAGGCCAGGAGCATGCGGGATTAGGTACAGACAGGAAGTGAGATGTTGGGGATTAGGAATTGGGTGCCAAAATTGCCAAAGACAGGCGTCCAGTGGAGTGTGTAAGAAAACAGTTTCTGAAATGGCAGAAGTCTCCCCCTAGAAATGGAGGGTGGGGCACATGTGTGATGAGGTGCCTGCAGGCACTTCTCTCTCCCAGGAGCACAGTAGGAACGCAGTGGGATCATGGGCTAACGACGTTATCCGAGACTGTGGCTCACAGATGAATGACAAACAGAAATGAAAAGTGGCACAGGGTGTGAGTGGGATTAGAAATGTTACTATTAGCCACCCAAGAGCAAGTCTATTCCGCTGGTGGGGTGCAGCAGGGCTCACCGAGTAGCTGTAATTTCCAGCAATTAAGTTGTACTGTAATTCATAATTTCATTGTGTAATGGAGCTGATGGAGATGAGGTGATTCCTGTCCTACAGGACGGTGAGACTCATCAGACCAGAAAAGCACCACTTTAAGGAGAATGAGGCAGCTCACCCCAATGTACTTTGTGGGCATTTTGTAGAGAACCATTTTCCTCAAGGAGATGTTGTAAAATGTTTCTTGGAGCCCCCAAAATGACTGAGAAACTGGAATCTCTTTACAAAAAAAACCCCCAATATTTATTCCTAAAAATCTAATTTACATGGTGTTTTGAGAAAGTGGAATTTCACTGCTGATGGCAACTTTGAGGAGGCTGAAACAGAAGAGGCAGACCATGAAGCAGGACAAGAACAACCCAGCAGCGCTCCCATCTCTGCAGGTTTGACAGGTGCACTGCTCTCTGCTTTGTTCTTCAACCCACTGAAGTATGTACTTGGGCCTAATTATCAGAATGTCTGCACCAACAAAAAGCTCAGCATTTTGGTCATCTTCCTAATTTCTTACCAGTTTTCCAACAAATGGACTCAGCTGTTTTCTTTATAGTCAAGGGTTAGCCTTTCAGCAGCTTGGTCTCATCACAGGTCTGGCTGTGGATTGTTGGAAACACTGGTGCAGACAACCAGAAAGTGAGCTCATCATTTCTACGACCCAGGTGCAGATACAGACTTAGAGGGGCCCTGCACCCTGCTCCTGAAGAAAAGGTGCAGATTCCACAGCTCTGAGGATTCCCTGCCTTGGGCTCCACTTAGAGCTCCCTCATCTCACAGAGAACACTCAGCCAGACTGAGACTGAGACAAAAAGACGCACAGGACAGCTTCTCCCTGGATCGAGTTCACAACCTTCCCACAGCACTGTGTGAGGAAAGGGGGTCCGGGCAGCCCCATGCACCTGGACAGCTGTGCTACTGTAATGGGCTGGTTCCTGCTAGCCTTGTGAGAGGAGGGGACAGACAGAGGGAAAGGGAGCAGAGCACAATACGGGAAAGCAATCCAAACAACAGAACAGCGACCCTGCAGGTTAGGGCTTAGACCTACCATCATCCTTATTGTCCGACTATGTTCTGAGTATTATCTAATTCTTCTGCATTGGGTGTTTTTATTATTCACACTCCATGGCAAAGTAAACTGAGGCACACAGAGGTTAGGTAACTTGCCAATGACTCATGATGACTTTGCTGGTCAGTTCAGACCATGACCCCACAATGTGTGACACCAGAGCCTTGATAACATAAGTAAATAAATATTCTCATATTATTCAAACACCCACCTCCCCACCTCACATAGAGAGTGAACTCAGGACCTCTGCATTAAGCTACAGTTTTGAACACTTTTTATTACATTTTTTTAAATGTTATTTTGATGGAAGCAGCAGTGCTACACTTCACCAAGCTGTGAAGTTGCCCGGTCTAGGCTCAAACATGTGATTTTCCTGTCTCAGCCTCCCAGGATGCTGGGTTTATAGGTGTACGTTACTAGCCTTGAGATTATTATGGTTTTTCTTAGTGTCTTCCAGTGTTGGAGACCTCTAGGTATGGGGAAAACCTTGGGGGGTGGGTATTACTGGCTTTTTGCTTGTACAATGCAAGGGTTGTTCTGTGCTTTAGTAACCCAAGTTAGAAAGGAAATTAATTCAAAACCACAATATATAATTACACTTAAGATCAACATTTTCTTTACAAAAACATTCCCCACCAGAATGCACACAACTAGGAGTAAGCACCTAGCTAATGGGCATGTGAGTCACCCAGCTCAGGGAAGGAACCCGGAAACAACTGGCAGTGTGGGCCTGTGCTGACGCAGTCTCAGCTGGTTCTCCCTGGAAAGTCTTTGCTGACTGGAATGATTTACACCTGCTGATGCGCGTATGCAGAATCTATCTGATAGAGCTAGAAACTGAAAATATGCTTACACATGTTGGAAAGGGAAAAGTGTTCAGATACGAACAGAGGATGCTGGCCCTGTAATTATATTAGTCATAAAAGAACACACCTGAGAGCGTTCAAAAATAGTAATTTCATCCATATTCATGAATAATGACAACAAAGAATACTTGCACGTGGATTACAAAAATCAAATGATAGACACATGCTGACCTTGCTGAAGGACAAGCTATGTCAAGGTGTGCCTTAGAGGTTAGGGAGAAACAGGTTGATGGTGAAGATTGGTAAGACCTTCTAGAGGTAGTTTTCCTCCTTCTAATTCAACCCTGCGCAACACTACTGGTTAGAGCATGCCTGGAGAGCAACCTAATATTGTCTAGATTGAGAAGAAGAATAAAATAGGTCTTGTAATTCAAAGTGAAGTTCAGAGGGCATCACAGTATTTCTAATTGAAGAATTCATTGCTTCACCACCAGTCCAATACAGATCAAATTCACACGACAGAAGTACTGTAGGTCTGTCTCTCTAGAAAACTGAGTGCTTTTACCAGTTCTGCCAAACGTTTCTATGCTGAAACATGAGTTCTTCCAATAACTGATGTGTCCTAACCAAAGTAGCTGTAACTAGTGCAGGTTCTGAGGTAAGTACAAGGAGTCACACACATGTGCACATGCACACACACGTACAAAGACACAATTATTTCACATACACAATTATTTTAACTTTAATAAGTGTGTGCTAGAATAGATGGTATCTTCCATCAGATACAGTATAAATAAGAGAGAGTAGGTACTATAAAGTTAAAGAAAATGTTGCAGAAAAATATTGAAAGGGGGAAAATTCTATATATTTTTAAAATATAAAAATATTAGGCTACCTTAAAAAAACAGCATGCTAATTATCTTTGGGGCCACCATACATACTTGGAAGAATAGTTTAGAATCACTGCCCTGATAAAATTTTACTATTACTTAGATTTAAGATTCCAGAGAAAACTGGTTTTAAACTATTTCCTCTACACCTTAGCACCTTGAAACTACTTTGAAGAACAACTTCGTGATGAGAAAGGTCCAGTAATCAAGGAGGACTCTTTGAAATGCTCAAGGTTGCCCTGGCTGTGCATGCCTGGTTCTCTCAGCCCCGCACCCACGAAGGCCTGGCAGGATGCTCACCCTCCTCCGCAGCCGGTCCCGCTCCTCGCGGATGGCGTTCATGGTGGCCTTGGTCCGGTTCAGCTCCTCCTCCTTACTGCACAGCATGGCAGTCAGGCTCTCATTCTCTTCCCTCAGCCCAGCCAGCTCCTTCTCCCACCGAGACCGCTCTTCCGCCAGGTTTGGGTACAAGTCCCGGCCGAGCACTCCCTCAATTTCTTCAACTGTCTGCAAAACATGGTCACACAGAAAAGCTGGGTTAGTTCCCAGGGAGCCTGGGGACAGGAAGCACAAGGTGTGCAGGGTAGGAGACACAGAAAGGGGCCCTCACAGCCATGTCATTGCAGGTGGTGATTATGCCTAGGGATGCCCTGCAAACTGTCCTCTCCCCAGTTTGAGATGAGGCATTCTTTTATGCCCCAATCACACTGTGTCACCCAGCCAGTCCCCACAGAAAGGAAACACAGTCCCCTCCTGGGCTTTCAGTCTGTGCGTGGGCCCAGTTGCCATGTTCTCACAAACGTTTCTCTCCTTCACTTGAGTTCCACACATGCAGGCAGCAGGGCAGTCAGTGATCCTGACGACGCAGTGACAAGCAAGCTGCACACAATGTCTAATTTGAAGTTTCCTAAATTACAGGCCTCCCATGTGCCAACTCAGCAATAAGCATTTCTCACGCTTAGCATCACATCAGAATTCAGATGGTGTGAATGAGGTTCACTCCCAAGATGTATGCAAAAGCCAAAAATAAACCTCAGGGACACAGAAAAGGGGAAACTCACTGTGGAGGCTTCTCAAGACAGCAGGGATTTAATAAGATAGTTGTGAACTAAAAAAAAGAGAATGCTGTATTTGGAAAGTTCCTAAAAATTCATTTGCAACAGTATTAATAGAGAGGAAAAATGCATAAAAAATTAAGAAAAAAACAGAAAGAACCTATTCTGCTTGTTCTCAGAAACTATCACTCATGTGTTGACTTTCACAAAAAAAAAAAAAAGCATAAACTGGCTGATGTCTGAGCAGGAGGGAGGGGAAGGCTGTGGATGGAGGGAACAGAGAGAGGCAATGAGAAACACAGGCTCAAGCGCTGTACTACAGACAGGAGGGTGTCACGCTCAGACGGTCACAGCAGTTCCTGGTTCCCTGATGAACAGTTACTCAAATCTTGCTGCCAGTTTCTCTATGCTGTGCTGGGTCCTCTTCACAAATTCAAGATTCTGATCCTACTTGGCTTCTCTCCAGGTTCTATGTGCCTTGCTAGTTAGCAGAAATCCTTGTCTTTTTCTTTCACTCAATGTGCAGGCAGAGGCTACGACCCAAGTTGACATTGCAATAAAAAATGGGACCTAGGAGACTCCAGAGAAAGAAGAGCAGGGTCTGCTCCCCCACCCAGACCACATTCTGTACGCATGTGCAGATGAGACGAGCACAGGCGGGAATGCATCTGTGTTACCAATGTGTATCACCATGGTTTACCCTCAGCCACTGCAGCTCTTTTGGGAAATCCAGGATTCCTATGACAGAAACTTGGGCCTAGATCACTCTTGAGCATAAGATGCCCCCAGACTTTGGAGTTAGGCCTAGATCACTAAGCTATGGTAAAGTAATAGAAAGACGCCTGAGGTACAGGAACAATAGCACCTTGTCTCAGGATGAGTGCATGCAGATGCAGCAAATCCCAGCACCTGGTTCTTCCTTAGCAGTAAGCTGAGAGCACATCAAAGACATGACTGAGCCCTGCTGCCCTTGCCAGGGATGAGATGACTCAGGCCCTGAACCTTCTGCACTGTTAGCAAAAGTGGACTGATAACTCATGCAATTGTATTCTAAAGAGCTTAGAGTTCTAATGAACATCCAATGAATTGTCCTTTTTAGACAGAGCCAGTGATCCTGACCATTAATAGAATGCCTTTTTCTAAAGAAAATCAGCCCAAAATAAATTTATGGAGCCTCTGCTCCTACCTATCAGGCCAATCTAAGTGCTGGTTTCATAGTAACCCTCACCCACACCAGTTATCCAAGAGGAGTTGTAACCTCAGAGAGTGAGCAGCGGCACAGGAAGGCTGACCTTGATAGCCAGGTCGCAGTGCTCACTCGCCGTGGTAAGTTGCTCAATGTGCCGGTCCACCTCCGCCACAGAGAGGCTGCAGCTGCTCTTCTTCCTGCCACAGACCACACTCTCCAGCCCCGTCAGCACCCTCTGCAGTTCCGAGTTCAGGTCACTGCAGTTATCTGTAAGTGAATGAGAACAAAATGTGTTACTAAGCAGGTGGGCCGGCAATGCACATTCTCCATTTCCCTCACCAGAAGGGACTCATTTCATGTGAAACGGAACAGCAATGGAGCTTGACATTTCCAAGTCCAACCTTGTCCTGCTTCATCTCACAGGCTGCTGACACTGCCTCTGAGGCTTGCAGCCAAGGTAAAGCTGTTTATTAAGGAGTTTTGGACTTTGCTCATTTTCCAGAGAGCTGTACCATTCTGAATTCTCTTGCCTATCACTCCAAGGCAGCTATATCTAGAGTTTTTTAAAAGCAAATCAAAGAAATACCCCAAACAGGGCCCACAGGCACTTCAGAAGCCTTCTGGTAAACCTTTCCACTTAGCCACTCTGACCAGCACTAACTCCAAGGTTTCAGCTAAGAGTCTATCAAAACTTTACTAACAAAAAAATCTCAAAATTAGAAGAGAATTGTGCCTTTGGAACAAAATAGAGACTATTCTTACCCTCAAAAAGCTTACAATATGGGGTTCCATATACAATCCCATTTGAATTCAATCTGTGTTCTATCACAGAAAAAATAACTTCTAACCAATTCTATATTATTCTCCATGGTAAGGTCTTAAAATCAATTCTAATAACTTGATCTTGCTTAACAGTATTGATTACTTTTTAACTGCTGGACATCTAGGGACTGATGAAGGAAGGAAAATTAATTATAATTGCAACATGAGCTAGGAATATTATGGAAGGTAATTCTGGGAAAATAAAACCTCTTAGATTTCTTAACCTGCTTCTTAGGATTATACATAGTACTCCATCACTAACTACTGCGGCAACACAAGTACGGACTGTGTGCCATGTCTCTTCCTACATCCAAGCTGATTCCTGCAGGAAGAAGCTAAGGACCTTGTTTCCCCTCGTCTCACATGTTGCATGCACTAAAATGATTGGCTGCTTTTGGTGCTCATTTTTGGAAGATTTCAAAAACAATGCTTAGCATTACATAAGGAGAGTATTTCTTAGGATACATTAATCAACCTCATTTTGCCACTCAGACCTGTAAGCTGTCTAAATCTATGGAGAAAACCAACCTGAAGCTTTGTACAATCAAGGCACACAATTATTCTCCGTAGCTCTCCAATGTCCTCCCAGATTTCTTCTCTATGAATGGTGTCACCACTTGCTTAATCAGTTCAACTTTGATGCAATCCTGACACTTTTTGCCTCACATCCTAAATCCAATCCATCTTCTGAGCACAAACTCCAATGTTTAAGAAGAAACTGATCTCTTCCGACCATTTCCACTGATACTACTCTGCCACCATCATTTATCAAATGTATCACTGTAACAAAGCTCCTTCCTTCACTGTTCATATATGGCAGTCAAAGTAAGCCTTTTCAACACACAGATCTGGTCATACTACTTTTCTAGCCTGACTTTCCCAGCAGCTTCCCACTGTCACTCAGTTAAAGTCCAAACTCCTTACCAGGATTCTGTAAAACTGCATGACTGAAACTTTCTCAATCCAAGCAGCATGATGAGATTCTCTGGGGAGCTTTTATAAAATGCAATAACCAGGCCCCAGCCTGGGCCAATTAATTCGCAATCTCTGGAGGTGGGGCCTGGATGCTAGAGTTTTCTTCTAAGTTTCTCAGATAATGTTCAGCACAGTCAGGGTGTGAAACACTGCTCTGGCCTTGACCTCATCTATTCTGTATTCTTGTGTTCCTGGATGCTCTGTTCATGCTTTTGGCTTCTCTCTTTCCTGGAAAGTGTCAAATTCTGATCCGTCCCAGAGGTTCTTTCTCTCTTGGCAGTTTCCTCTGCCTGGAATGACTTCCATTCATCACACAGCTCTCAGACAGGGTTCCAGCTCCTTCCTCGGCCCATTACCCTATTTTCTTCATGACAGTTAATGCTATCTGATCTGAATTAAGAGTTGTATTCTCTCCACTACTAAATGTAAGTTGCACTTAAGAATGATCTGTGATCTTTCTCATCATTGTATCTCCAAAGTAGAATATTGTAGGTAATCAAAAATTACTTTTATGTGAGCAAATAAACACATTACTATCCATTTAAGAAAGCAAGACTAGAAGCACAGACTGTCAATAGCAGTATTTTTTCAGTTTTTTGAGACAGTGCCTTGGTATGTAGTTCATGCTGGCCTTGAACTCACTAATGTAGCCCAGGCTGGCCTTGAACTCAGGATAATCCTCCTATCTTAGTGATCTTCCTGTCTCAGGCTCCTAAGTGCTGAGATTACAGCACTCAGTTCCACCACTCATGGATAATGGCATTTTTGACATTAATTATGCTTTTCGTCCTTGTAATGGACCACACCTGAGTTGCTACCATCATAGGTAATTGGAAGATATATCATGACAACAGTGACACACTCCCCACTGCAGAGTTCTCTGGACATAGACAGCAGGCATACATCATGGATATGAGGTGAAGGGACCCAAATGAGGAGCAGCATGCCCCGGTGACCACAGAGACCAGCCTCTGAAACCTCACCTTCAGGTGCAGGTTTCCTGGTATCCTGAGCTGGATACCAGGTGTTTACACTAGGTGCTTAGGAAAGGGAATGGGGATGAACAGTGCCTCTATTCAGCCTTCCGCACTGATGTACCTAGCACAGGTCTATCTGCACAGGTGTACTGGAAGTTTCTGCTCAAGGACTGACAACAAGGCAGATTTCTGAAGATGCTGGCCACAGGAAAGAGAAGAAAGGACTACAGAGCTGACCATTACATCTCTCTTATTCTAAAATTGGTTGCAAAGCCCCAGCCTCAGTCTGGAAGCAGAGCACAACCCCAAGGGCTTCACAGATGTACTGGGTGAATCCTGAAGCCCCTCTCTTAGCTATCCACCTGCCTGGGAAAGCACTCTGGAACACCCATGGGTGGAGGATGGAGAATCAGGAGGATAAAGGGATATTTAGCTTAACAACAGACTGGGAAGAGTTCATTAGCATCTGTCCTCTGTCCCAGGATGGGTACCAACGTTTTCTTTAGTATCAGGCTGCTGATAGTATAAGGATACACACTGGGTGATAAACTCCATAGACCACTGAGCGATAAACCCCACAGACCACAGCTATTGTCCACAAAACTCTGCACTCTGATTTCACAAACTGTTGACACTTCGCTGTCCTTTGCCACTGCTCCCTGTTTGGAGCCTTTTGGAAGGACAAGGTGGCCAGCCTGGCAGAAGCAGGTATCCTGGGTCCCTGCTGAGGTGCTTTATAAGGGACCACTCCCTCACCACCATGCACCCATCAAGACTCTTCAGAGTCTGTGACACAGTCTCCTAAATGTACACTTAAAATAAACTCCCACCTTCTTGCTTTGCCCACAATGCCTTGCAGAACCTGGCCTTTGCAGAGACTGGCCTTCAACATACAAACTAAGTCAGCTGGAATTTCTACAAAAGATAAGTGGTACAGCTAGAGGGAATGAGGTAAGCCAAGACAAGATGGAGTGCTCCAGATGGTGGAAGAGTTGCAACAGTGAGGTGCAATCTCAGTAACTTTGGATCTTGAAACAGGATCAGCACCTTTGACAGTTTAGAAAAGGCTTTCACACACACTGTCACATTCCATTCCACTGCATTCAGTTCCATTTCATTCCTTTCCATTAGAAAGGCAGGCAAGCCTTACCCAGCAGGAGATGTCTGAACCTGGAGACACTGGTTATTTAACCAATGCCACATGGTAAGTGGCAGTAGATGGAACTAGTGATGGCCTTTTATGGTCAGGGCTATTTTAACTACACCACTGCAAGCTGGAACAAAGATCTCTCATGCAAGCATAAGCCATCACACTGCATTCCTACCAACAGTCATTGTTTCCCAAAAGAGCCAACAGAGGAACAGAAATCAGTATTAAATGAGAAACTTAACCTGAGGAGACTGTAAACATAAGGATATGCACTATAATTCCTAAAACAACCACTGAATATGCTAAAAGGAATGTCAAAAGCCAACAGACAAATTAAAATGAAATTCTAAGACAATCAGTTAAATATGAAGAAAGAAAAAATAATTTAAAAATCAGAAGGAACAAATAGCAGAATTACAGTGCATATCCTTATCTTTAGAGAGTCCCTTAGAGGTTTCAGTCCATGGTCACTTGGCTTTGTTGTTTTAAGGCCTGTGATGAGGCAGAGCTTCATGGTGGGGCAAAGCTGCTCACCTGACAGTCAGGAAGCAGACCCAGCAAGCAGGCTGAGTGGAGGAGTGGGGCTGGGGACAAGGGAGAGTCCACAAGGGCACAACTCCAGGACACACACCCTGCAACAAGGCCCTGTCACTTTCCAATATGCTATTAAATTAGAAATCCATCAACAGATTGGCCCACTGAGGAAATCAGAGCCCTCATGATTCATTCACTTTCTAAAAGTTCCACCTTTGAATATTACTGCCTTGGGGACCAAATCTTCGATACATAAACTTTCAGGGACTATTTCAGATCCAAAGCATAAAATTAACACTATCCCATAAAAAATATCGAAGTGAACTTTAACAATTAAGATGTACCATGCGTGCACAAAGGTGGGGGGATAACAAGAACCACAAGCAATGACATGCTGGTGAGGATGTAGAGACAATGGAACCTTGTTGCTGGTGGGAATTTGAAACAGTGCAGATATGTGGGCAACATTTGTTCCTTAAAACACACACACACACACACACACACACACACACATGTATGGTGGGCTGGGGACACAGCACAGTGGTAGAGCATGTGCTTAGTAAATACTGTATGATGGCCTGGCTCCAATTTCTAGCATCGCACAGAAAAACAAATGAGGATAAAACGTTAAACACTGAATTGTCATAGGGTCCTGCAATTCTATTCTTAAACAGGTAGCTATAAGAAATGAAAGCAGAGACTCCCAGAAACCCTTGTACACAAATATTCATAGCAGCATTTTTCACATCAGTAGAAACACAGAAACAACCCAAGTGTCAATGACAAATGAATAGGTAAACTAAATATGA